TTTTTCCAAACGCTTTTCAATTTTGTAACACTTTGTAAATGTGCATAAAAAAGCAAACAGTCTTCACTAATTCACTCATCACCATATGGATCATCTGTGAATGCAGAACTTAAATAGGAAGGCCAAGATATTTGGCGCTTCAATTAAATTTTGGTCCATATTATTGAAAGTTGGGCTAGTCGGTGTTTAGGTGTAGCTAGTTTAGGTGTTGGGCTAGTCCGTGTTTAGGTGTATGTTTAGGTGTAGCACAAAAACGGCAAAAATCGTGTAAAACGGAGGTAAAACAAATTCCGTTGCTTTTAAATTCGGGGGCTAGAACATCTTTTCCACTTTGAAAATCTGTGTTATTCATCCAAATGTACCAACAGTTGCAACCACATTCATTTTCTCATGAAGCTCTGGTCGCCAGATAGTCAGGTCCTTGCACTGTAGGTTTGTTCAAACTTTGTTCATTTTAATGACAACTGCTGTACAATTGCATAAACTTCATTATGGGCTTGCACGAAGGAATGTCTCCTGAAGCATGTCGGATTTGATCTATGCCGTGTATTGTAGCAGGCCTCAAATAACCAGAAGATGCTTACAACAATAAGCTTGCAGGCAGAAACAGCTATTGCTAAGAGAGTTTCACGGCATTTTCATAATCTCAAGATATTATTCTAACCATTCAAGCATAGTTGGCCTATTCTCTGTTCAACTGCAGTTGCATAATCATGGAGTTCTGTGCGTGAGACCGTCAAGTTGAGAGCACAAGGAAGTTCTCCTATTATATTGATTATTGCATATTATCTACAATTACAACTGATGAATGTGGTCATTTCATTGCATGAAATTCATCATGCCTGCATAAAAGTATTATTTGCAACACATTTCAACTTTGAGCTTCAGTTCTGCATTACAAAGATGTGCTTTTCTTCTATATTCCAGAGTACAAAAGTTATAGTTAAATATCGAGAAGTGCTTGAAACAACAAGGCTTGCAGGAGCACACAGTGGTTTGCTGATAGTTTGAAGCTAGGTAACCTCCTGCAAAAGAAAAATAGATTAGCTTTGTGCTTAAGGCCAAGAACATTGTGCTTGATATTCAACTGAGCTAGTGAAATAAAGTTGATGTGATGTCCTGAGTGTGTAAAGTATAGTCACATGTTTAATAGACAGTCTTAGTTCACTATACTCAGTTCGGCGTTTGCCGGGTCTTAAAAGGAGTGTAACTACACATGGGCTAAACAAAATACATAGACACATGTATGAAGTTTCTGGTGAAAATGAGACTAGATGTAGTATCTAATAGAGATGCCAGCCAGTAGGTGCGTGTTCAATATTGCAGAACATGTGTAGCTAGCACAATACAAATGTGTCATGCACCTTTTATGGCTCCTGTGATATTTTGGAAGTACCAAAACCAAAATAAGCAGGGTAGCCAGGAAAGCAGTTGAAGTTTCAAAAGTCATGACAAAAATAATGTGCACTCTCAAGTGTGTTCTTTATCCTTTCGAAGACCTTGTTCTGCTGCTTCTTCACTCGCTCTCTGAAAGGCTCCACTTCAGGACAAACGGCAAAACCTTGTTAATTAACTACTGTTTGTAACACATTCAAGTACGCAAGTTTCAGAAGAATCTGTAATGTTTGTGTTGTGTGCGTTATCACATCGAAAGGTTCTAAGATCATCTCGATGGTTCTTAGTCAATCGGCTGGGTTATTGCAAAGCATCACTTACATGTGTAATGGGGCAATAACAAAACTTGGGAAAGGAGTGTTTCATTAGTGAGAGGGAGCAGGAAAAGATCACCTTTCTGAAGTGTCTGCTGAGGCACATGCAGCAACCCCTCCCAGCAGCACGGTAACAACTAACGCTGTTCAGTATTGTGAGACTCTTCCAATATCAAAGCTTTTTTAAAGGTTCTTTCTAGAGTTGTGCAAATAGCAAAATTTTGGGTGCAAAGCGAATTCGAATATTGAAACACGAGTGCATATTGAATCATACGTTTTTCAAATAGTTCAAAGTGAAATTGCGAGAAAGAAAAGGTGCAAAAGACTCTAAAGCATAATCTTATAAAATATAGCAAGATGAAAGTGTTTCTTTTCGCTAGGTTGATGAAGTGCTTGCGGAGTGGTATTTCATAGTCTTATCAAGAATAACGCAATGCAGAGGCCGACTTGTATTAGAGGAGTAAGACTTGGTTAGAGGAGGCCACTTGGTTGGGATTCATTGTGAACTTGGTTTACAGCACAACATTACAAACCCAGACACAAGGAAGGAGCAAAAGAGAAAGAATAGATGGAGCTGATTCTCAACTAATCTTTTTTTTTATTCTGTTGAGAGTCAGCTTCGTCTTTTCCTTATCTTTTGCTCCTTCCTTGTGTGTTTCTAGTGTTGCGCTGTAAACCAAGCTCACAACGGCTTGTATTCGTACATGATTTGGTGTAACCAAAGTGTTGCTAGCAACACTTTGCATGTCAAAGGCAAAGATGCTATATCCTTCCTCTTTTTTCAACTTCTGTGGAAGCCCAACTGATGTGGCACACAAGAGTATGCTTCCTTCGAGTATGTAGTTCCAAATCTGCCTTGTAGACGTTAACACAAAAAAAAAATTTCAAATTTTAAATGCCAAGAATTTTCGGCATCTAATTTCTTGGACTTCCTGCACAAATTTAAGGTCAAGAACAGCATTATTGAGCACCTACCTCTGCCACATCTACCATATCCATGTTGGAACCAGTGTATTTTGAATCAATACATTTGAGACCATAAAAGATCCTGAACCACAGCTTTGAAGCAATACAGGAGTGTGATGAGGTGACGCATTTCAAACCTGAAGGAGCCATTTTCAATCCGACGTTGACTGTATTCGTCTTTGAGAAGTTTGAAAGGTAGCTTTGCCACAATACGAAAATGTAATGAGATGAAGCACATTGAAGATCTGAAGGGATCTCTTTTAGTTGACGAATGCATTTTTCTATGGGATGTCCGAATAGTAAAAATTTTAGTGCGAATTGCATCGTATAGCAAACACTATTAGCAAAATATTCGCAATTTCAAATATTCGCACACTCCTAGTTCTTTCCATAACCTGCTCCCTCGATTGCACTTTACATCTATGGATGCATTGCCAAATTGCATTGGGACCTGGTGGAAGGCTCCTGAGTGTCTGTTCTTTGAATTGCTTCATATATTGTAGGCACTATAAAGAGCAGACACTACTGTATGTGGCCAAGCTACCCCGCTACCTTCAGCGCCACATGCGCTGAAGGTAGCGCATGTGGCGCTGAAGACCCGATAATGTCTTCAGCATAAATAAAACAACAAATTTTTTCTTATTCATGCTGGGATTTCAATTGTATCCTCATGCTCGAAAGTGAGCGCCTTAACCACTATGCTACACACCCATGCTTCCACAAAGAGAATAGGTGCACAGTATGTCTAAACCACATGAAACCCTTTGTGCAAAGCAAATGCAGAAAGACAACACCTTCTAGTCAGACTTCGCTGATTTTCAGGGTAACGCATTAAACACCCTCAGCAAGGCACAATGTAGAGCCGATACAGAGAATCACACAAATCAATAATTGTTTTCTTTGAAAAAACAAATTGATACCAAACTTGAGTTTTCATGGTCCTTTTGAGGCGGCTATTAGATGTGTAGACTAACCAGTAGAAGCGAGCATGGCTGTGCCATCTACACTCTATTCCCCCCCTTTGATTCAGCACTACTAAAGCTATGGGGTGTAAGTAGGCGACACACTTTCGCAAAAAAACATAGCCCCAAATATAATAGGTGCCTTGAAATTGACCGGGTCGACTAAAATTGGCGTTTGTTTTGTTTTTGTTGTGCCACATCGATATGTGAAACGTTTATTCACCGCATTTCGTTCATACGCATGAAATTATTTTTGTCACCGCCGCTAACTGTGCTTACAAACCGGCATGGCAGCACCCATGCAGAAGCGACCACCCACTTCGATCCGAACTTGCCCTTGCTACATGTCCACCTGTGCACAGCAACAAATAAATGGTGAAATCAGCCTTCAATTTGTTTCATCTTACTCCGAGGATAAAACATCAGTTAGGTTTTGTCCTTATTAACAAGATATGCTGCTTGATTAGGCGCATCTGCTAAGACTAATGTGCCGAGGCAGTGCTTGGACTGTGTCGCCAGACAAAGAACGCTGCATCTCCAATGGACATGCAACATGGCATAGCATTTCGTACACATCGAATCCTCGGTTGATGAAAACAAAAAAAGAGAGAAAAGAAGCATTGCAGCGAGAGACTTGAACGAACGCGTTGAAACAGAAGCAGCTATACGAGAGACAGGAAAAGTGTCGGATAGAAACAGCCACAAAGTGAAATTCGCCGGCATGAGCATCTACCGATATTCAGTAGAGAAACAAATCCACGCTTCAAGTTCCTGGTGTGACTGCTTGTTTTGCAGTTTTACTGTATCTTTAAGTTAATAAAGCAGCCTTCTCTGCAAAAAGTGTGTATAAACGATTCAGCAAGCAGACGCCGTGATAATGGTGAGCAGACGACATGGCGCAGATGAATACATGTGGAGGGTGTAATCACCCTTCTTATTGGCTGAGAGGCCCTGTAGCCTCCACAGTCCTGAAAAGAGCTTCTGAAACAGAGCATAATGGTTGGTCAGACCCATCTTGCTCAGCGGCTGAAAAGCTCGAGTGGCCACTCTTTACCAAAGTTTATTTCTATATGGTGTCGCAGTGAATTATAGTTCACAGCATCGCAAAAGCCCATATTCACAAGAAATTCTCAAGATCAAAGTATGAACTATTTTTCAGTTTTTTCGTAGGCGGCCTGCTAAAAACATCCCTAAATTGAAATCCTGGCTGTTCAACCGGCCATATCAATAATGAAGGCAGCCTTCAACTACTTCTATAGTCAGAATGATTAAAAAATTTTCTTTGATGTTTATCAACACTTTACATGACTCGATGGACAAGGCTTGCTCTGTAGCCACAGTAACATAAGGTCCACACAAAGAACTCTTTAATGCCGTTGACACTTTATTTCATCATATGCACTTTTTGTTACAAAGGAAAATAATCTGTGCAACAAACAGCTGGTAAATTTCTAACTAAAACTGTGTTACAACAGAAAGAATTGCAATTAACAAGGCTAAACTCAGGCATAAAGTGAAAGGGGAACATGTTTGATATATCTATAGAGTATTTTACATGGTTAACATACAATGCTTGGAAGTTTTGCAGGTGACCACTCCAAGTACGAGGCGCACGTCATCTCTTTTAATATACATTGCACAGGAAAACCGGCTACATCTACAGACGTCACGAGAAAAAAAAATTATAGTAATTAGGAATGTAGTTTCCCAAGCCCATTCAAAGCCTAACTCTCGCATTATGATGTTCACACGTACAATTCTGCCACATATTTACAAAACGCAAGCCCCCCGTCAGCTTCCGTGCACTGTGAAAACTCGCGGAACGAAAAAATCACACGTACCTCTCTCACAACAAAACCGATATGTCCCTGCAAATATAGTCATAAATAACACAAACAAGCTCAGTAAATCTGGAACGCATACAAAGTCAAAATACCGGTGTCACACTACCTCACCGGCAGGTAGTGGTACATTCAGTCAAGAGAGTTCACGAAAGACAAATTAACAGATTTATAGCATTGTAAAACCTGTTATAATAAAGGAAACTCAATAACAGAGGACTCGAAAGAGGGGGGCGGGGCCCACAAGAACAAAACACTACATTAGTAATAGTAGAAACAACCTGAGGCACAGTTATGTCTCTCCACAGTCGTTCCTCATACGGTTGCGAATTGTGCTTACTAAGACAATATCCAACTCGGCAAAAACAGTGCTATGTAGCACTACCTCTGCAAGAACAGACAATAGTGCACAAGCTCCTTTTCCAAGCAGTTCTGGGTACAAAACGACAATACATCCAGTGAAATCCTTAGCAAATGCACTAGCATCTAGACACTGTATGCACATGACATGCTGTTCTGAGCTAAACGATACTTTAATTCTAGAATAAAAAAACGAGCAACAAGTTAAACACCGGTTATGACCGCAACACTCAAATAACAGAAAAAGATGAAAACGTTGGGAGGAAAACTTGAAAACAAGGCGATAAAGCAAAGAAAAAAAAATGAATATCCCTCAAAACGAGAATCCGTAAAGCTGCTTTATTATAAATTAGTGATGAGCTTCGAAAGAAGCACGCAATTTCTTATGCGAGTGAATTAATACTCGAGGAGAAACAGCTGCGACCTCCATCGCAGACTGAGCAGACAGGAAAAGGTTATTATGCTTGCAATACCCAAATCCCCCTAATTTCCTGTGCACAAGTGAAACACTGCACTGTAGAATTTCCACAATGCAACCGCAGCGATCCCCGCGTGCCCCTCGACTGAAGGCTCACGTAACAGTGAAACCGAAGCTACAGTAAACAGGCGATGAAGCGTATAATTATTTATTGGCAACAAACTACTAATTCCTCAAAATTTGGCAACTAGCTGGTCCGAGCACAGTCATTGAGAGCATTGCACACACTATTGTATTCCCGAAAATGATAACAAAAAAACAAAAAAAAACATGAGAGGCACAATAAACTGTGACAAACGCAACAGGAATCAAAAGCGTGAGCGCACTAGCGGACGAGCGTGTCCACCGCCACCGAGTGCGTCACCTTCAGACGCGAACAGAAGTGACTGCAATCTTGACTAGACAATGCGTACATTGAAAGATGAAACACTGATGACTACAGCACGCAAGACACCAACGAAAATGCAAGCAAGCAAGGTATTGTAAATGCCGGCAATAAGTAAACAAAAGCAATGAAGGGGCTAGGCCCATCCGACATCCATTCGTCGTTCTCTTGCAAGAAAGCACCGTTGCGGTGGTATCATTCTCTATTGTTTTTCACCCGACTTTTGTGATGTTGCGGCACAAACCTCACTCTAAGCGTGCATTTAATGCGTAAGTGCTAACCCCCTTTCTTGTTTCTGCCTCATTACACCAAGTAACTGTGCGTCTCTCAAAACAATGCGCAAATGACGCACAAGAAATGCGTCGACGCATACGTTTGCACAAAAGAAGACCAACACAGTCACGCCTTGCCTCGCAATCTCAAGTACAACAGCCTCGCATGCACTGTTTGAATAGAGTGCAGAGTCAGCACCAACAACCACACGTGCCAACTTCCAAGATATGGTGTGTATGTGTCTGTATATCTTCATTTTTTTCCTCACAGGGTGTCATCATGCGGAAAAATAAAACGTTTTCCGGTTTTCCGGAAGTCCTGAAGCACAAAAATATCTGTACATACCACGTCTGAAGCCTGTCGAGGATCGTACGAGAAAACTGAATGTTTGGAACTGTGTCAAATGCTAATGTAGAGAGAAGGCCACGCTATGTAAACTAAATATGTTGGCCCGCATACGCGACACATGAACTTGACTACAACACGAGGGTCACACGTAGCCATCAAAAAACAAGTGCATGTTACACTTCTGCAGCAAAACAAAAAAAAGGTAGGGTAAGGTCGGGAACACATTATAAAATGGTTAGAACAGAAACTGTCAACGCAGTACAGACATTAGACAGACTGCCCAATAACAGAGCTGAAGGAAGGAGACCGGGCTTGGACTACTTTAGCACACTGGTGGATGATGTAGAACTTGTAAGGAAAAGAGGGCCTGTGTAAAACTGCCTTGAGAAAGTTGGAGAGCTTGCCAGGCCCTACCGATGCCTCATCCTGCAAAACCAAAAGAGTTGGGCTAATCAAGTTTTATGCCCTTCCAAAGAGCCACATACATGACACAACTAAATGTGTGTAAAGGTTTTAATTCAGCTTCTGTATAATTTCTTCAATTCCACAATGACAGGATTGTGAAATTTGATTAGTTGTTCTAACATGCCTTTAAATGTGCCTAATCTGAAGCATCCTCCAATCATTATATGAACTCTTTTAAGTGAAAATGTTACCAGGTCCCCCTTTTTGATTCACCAGCAATAGAATGAATCATCGTATATCAGAAAGTAACAAAAGCTGTGTAAGTTCTCATTACCACTGTATCTAACAAAGAAAACACGCCGTTAAATTTACACTTTCCTTTATATTTTTCAGAAAAACTTCAGTATTGCTTGTTGCTAAAATGATCAAAATTAGCGTACTGGAGCTATGAGGCTGAAGTTGTGCAGTCAAAGCTAGAGCGTTCTACGTAGTGCCATCTATTTTTTAAAGTGTGGTCCATGCGACTTGAATGGGTCTCACACCTGCTTTCACCTCACAACAACATACTTGTATAGGTTGAACTTTCATGCCAGTTTTCATGGCTCCAAAACCCAGCACATTCATTTCGTCAGCAATAAGCGTTAATATAAGAAGCTAACAAACACGTGGGAGGTTTAGTGTAGCCTCGTTTTCAAGGAACAATGAAGAAAACTGTTCTGTTGATTTAGATTAAGACACTAGGCTTCCAGAACAAAAACTGCAAATCTTGCTAGCAACATCTTAGCCTTGTCGATGACAACTCTTTCCTGAACAATTCCCATCACTTGCAAAATGGGCCAGAAGGTGTTGCATGCAGCATTACAGCCTCTAGGGCTACTCATACTTGTCACTCACCACATGACAACAACAAAAAGCAACAAATTTTCACCAACTCCAGGAGCCTGAGAACATCAACGCTAGGCAGAAGCGATTTATAATTGGAATCTATGTTGTACAGAGCGATTTTCATGAGCCGCAATGCCCGCACGCGTTCCCTTTTTTTCACTAACTCCAGCAGCGTAAGAACATTCAGCCACACAACGCAATACCAACACATGTGCCCTACCGACGCTGGTGTTGCGAGGTCATTGCTTTTAATATCTGGGGCACTTGTCAGAAGTGGTAGACAGCTGCTACTGTCGGTAAAACGGTGCTGCTCGTTTCTGACGGCCCCTCTCTGTTGTGCAGCACACTAGTTGAGTAATACATCAAAAAACCTGCACTAGACCTGACCATTTAACCACTTGTGGCAGTAAAAGTCTCCCTTCATCGCCTAGGTCTTTCTCCGCGGCAGCAGCGAAACAATTCTTATATTTGAACCATGAATAAACACACTTCGTTATATAAAGGTAAGTGAAGAAATAGTTCTCTACAGACATGAAGCCAGCAAAAGTGAAATACTTTAAGACACAGCGTTGCTTTACTGGGGTGATTAACTTTTGTCACTGCAAAAGGTTATATTAAAAGAAATGGCAATAACAAGCAGTTCACAGAAAACAGGTTAGCCACAAATACTGAGAAAACTTCATACATCATAGAATTTCACTCAAGCAGGAAAATATTGAACAACCCAGCAGCCTTGATATTTCTCTGGCCAACCAAACTTTGAATAGCATAAACACATTGTACATTAGAGTTGTTTCTGACCATCCCTTGCATTGGAAAGACCAGATGAATGCTGTACGTAGAAAACTACAGTAAGAACTGAAATATAGGTTGAATTTTAAAAAAAAGACAACGAAAAGACGACCCTCTTCTTATATACCAGTCATTGGCAGAAATAAATGTAGAAGTCTCGCACCAATGGGTAGCTGAAGTTCAACGCCTCCATTGCCGTCGTGAACATCAGCAGCGGCACCATTGGGCAAGGCTAGGCAAGGGCTACAGTGTTCTAGCAAAGCCATTTTGCCTCAGTTACCTGCTGTTGGTCTGTTGTTTTATTTTTTCTGTTTCCTTCAAAAATTAGTGGTAGTCGGCGGCAGTTTATCACATGCTTTAACAAAAATGCTATCAAGTATATGCGGAAGCGCACGGAAAGCTGGTGGCACAACGGGAATTCGGTGCATTGGAGAAAAGCTTTTGATACTAGAAGAGCCAAACGCAGCGCACCATATCCTGCAGCAACAAAACAAAAAAAAACGCTTCGTGGACGGACTGCAGTCCACTGGAAATGCTACTCGCCGAATTCGTACGGAAGCTGTGTGCAAGGTCTCTACCCGTAACAGCAAAGTGCATCCGCGTGAAAGTTCTCGAAATAGCGCGCTATGTTTGGCTCACAAGAGTGCAATTCAAGGGATCGCCATCGTGGGTGTGCCGATTTAAGAAGAAGAAGGGCTTTGTGCTGAGTCGGCATACTTCCATCTTTTCGCAAATGCTGCATCAGTAACGCATTGGATGGAACAGAGGGCGATGCACTCTGGGACGTTACTAGTGAAAAACAGACGTCTTCGGACTCAATTTCCAACGAGTCTGAGTGACAGCCTTTTTTTGACCTTTTGGCATTTAAGTAAATAAGATTAGTGTCCAAACAAAAAGAAATGTCACCACAATGCAGCCTATTGTGTTGCATATTCGCTGCAACACTTTGCCATTTTTAAAAATTCCTTTTTCGGAGACTCAAAGTTTAAGGGTCTGACCTAACCTATATTCCAGTTTTTACGGTAGCTGCTACGCGCTGGTCTATTCCCGGCAACATTTCCCTCGCTCCTTACTCAGTTGCAGATAATTTTCTCTCTTTCGTACACCTCTCTGTTATTGTTATGAAGCTTGGAGCCTAACATACCAAACTAATTTAATGCCTATACTGCTGTTACAAAAACATGCTTACATCCTCCCCCTTCATTATTCGAGTGGCATTATAATTAAATGAACTTTGTATTCTATCATTTATGGTGCAAAGAAATTTTAAGATAAAGAGCCTGGTTCACAAAATACTACACATAGAATTTCCACTACTGAACACCATAGTCAACTTCTCACATGCAAACAACAGCCAAACAAGTCAATTAAATTTATATCTTCCTCCCTGTAAGAATGTTTATGGCAAACGATTGTTAGAAATCTTTGGTGTCTGGAATACTGTGCCTCTAGAAATAAATACTGAGCATAACTTTTACCATGCTTTTAAATGCTTTTTCTGGTCTTGTGATTCGTACATCACTAAATAAAGCTTGCATATGCATAAAACCAATCATTTCATGACCCTTAATGTGCATTGCTAACCTTTATGCACTTCTTTATAGGACCAGTTACATACTAGCTACATAGGCTATTGGTCCGAATATATTGTATGCATTTTAGTAATTGCTTATAAATAACCTCATTTTGATTTGATTTTATTCACACGGAGAACTTCACAACAGTGCACTTTCTACAGCACTGTCTCATTAAACGAAATCTGAAAGGGAAATGTGTTCGGTTAAACAGGAGCTCTGCTCTGTTTACGGAGATATGAACAGGGGTGCCAAATTCAAGTATGGAACCAATTGTATAAGAGGCAGCTGTTCCATTTAAGCAGCAAAGTCATTTAAGAGATTTCTGCTCATGAGAGTCTACTGTATTCAATCTTAGTCGCAAGAACTAATGACAATCAGTGGCTGTCAGTCACAAGACCGCTGCTACTCAGAAGGTATACATCTCAAGAGACATGTCTTGAAATACTTAAATCGTATTTAGTGGTGTATAATTCCAACACTTTCCGATTTAGCAGTACATTACATGGTGCCTGCCAGATGTACTTCTTTTAAATGGGACGTACTACTTATCAGCCATGGATGTGTCAACATTCGTTGTAATGAAATCTTACTGTAATGTACAACGGTAAGTAAGGAGAGCTAACTGTGCATGCTTCATCTCTGCAGCACTTAATTCACTCAACCCAAAATCATTCCGCAGATACACACATGCCCAGGGGGAATCGCTTACAGTGGCTGCTCCGTTGTTTATTTGGCTCCATCAGTGGTAGGGGTCGCTCGGGCTGCCGGCTTCTTCCATCCCCGGTGCACTGGTATCAGAGACCGGCGCTGCTGCTGCGGTCGCCCACTGCCGGCTGAGATATTAGGGCTCGGGGTCCGGGAGCCAGCGGTGGCACCGCGGGGTGCAAGGCGCCGGTTGTCGGCAGACGGTACACCGCTCTTTTTGGTCGCAGATGCACCACTCGTCACAGTGGGCTTGCGGATCTGATTGCAAACACGAACACTGCCATTACTAAAGCAAAAACATTGCAACAATAGCTAGCATGTTTTTATTTATTGTCTTTCAAGGCCACAGCCATGTCATAAGCAGCTCTGCATGATTGCCAGGAAATTTTTCTCCAGGGGTTTTTCCCAAACGACAGCCATTTTTCTTGATTTAAGAGTTTCACTGTTAAAAACTTCTCAATCCACAACTGCATACACACATGCTTTTGCACAACCAGCTGAGCCTGCATATCAGCCAGTAATTGACATTGGTGCATACAGACAAAAGTGTTAGGCTGTGCAGTGAGCCTAGTCAATTGCTGTGATGTGGGCAGCCAGTCGTCAAGGTCACCGCTTACTTTCAATGGCTCAAGATTCTGACAGACTACCTTCTTGTTATCCTACTTTGCACAGGGCCAGACGACACTGTTGAGGATGACGGACTTTGCATGTGATGAATAATAACTGCTTTCTTCACCATTGTGAGCCTGGTAATGATGACGCTTTTTGTTGGTTTGGAAGACACAAACAGCATGGGATGCGTGATATCAATTTCTTATTACTTCACAAAGAGATGAAACTTCACAGTACATCAGGCCCAGCACACCGGGCAACATGCACAGACTTCCAAGCTGAGTGGCCTAGCTTGGCCTACAACTTGGCCACCATATAAATCTAATCAATACCAGACTGAACTAGCTAGACTCAGAACACAACAACCTATGTATAGCAAAACAGAGCACAGCCTTAGAGATCGGCAACTGCAACCTGCAGAAAGCCACGGTTTTATCGCGACTTTTGACATACACAGCGCTCTTTCTGGTGCTGGAAGCCTAAGAAAACTGTAAATAATAGCACTCAGTCGGCTTGTCATGGCATTTGATGTCACACCTGATCAGGCTGCTGAAGTGAAAAAAAATTGGACTGCATTCTGTAGGGTATGACATATCAGACGCTACTATGTTAGACTAAGACCAGAGGCAATGCCCCAGAGGCGCCTAAATAAATGAGCACATTTAAGCTTCCAACGTCCAAATAAATGGATGGCGGCTGTACACTTCAGATCAGGAAGCAGGCATGGAAGCAGGCATGGAAGCTGCAAAATTCAATGCCTGCCAAACTCAATGCATACAAAGTCTATGAAGCCTCAACTGTCCTCCTTTCTAGAACACGTAGTATAACTAGGGTTAAGGCTATTGAGGTGTTTTAAAAGTTTTTGAAGTTTAAAGAGTTTAGTTGGTAGAATGATTAACACTTGAAACTAAGCTTATGCTAATATACCAATACTTAGAATATTCTGACAATCATTACAGTACTTGAACTCACATGGATTCGTATTTATATTATCACAAATTTTGAAGTATTTTTAATGAACGAACTGATGTATATCAGTTTGCATGTAACCCCTGTAAAGGTAATTTCACTGCAGTAAAGAGGTGCTGTACCATGAGCACACCTATCCAGGGGAAACCTGCACTGCTGCAAAGCTTCATTTCAAGGTTAAAATGAACTTATCACCAGCTTGTACGCTCTAAATATAACAAATTGTAAAGCGTAACGTATTTTGCAGGTTATCACTAGCACTCTACCAAAAGTACAATCCTGCTACTACTCAAAGTTGCTCCCACTTCCTTTGAACCCTAAAAAATGACTTGCACATGCCTTGTTTCAAAAAAATATATTTATTGCGCAGGTTAGTTTGGCCACGACAAATATGCTCATTTTTTTATAACATGTGATATATACTACTTGAATTCGATTCGAAATTGTTCGACCAAATCTTTTTTAGCTTTGAACCTAAAATTTACTTTTCGCACAAGCCCGCTTGAAATGCATACAGTGGTCTAACATAATAAGTGAGACTTCTTATGTAATACTACATAATGGTGGGCTAGTTGTGTGTTGCTGGTCCTAAGAAGTAGAGGACTATCGCAGTAAAAGAAATGCAAACAGAGCAGCATCTACATGCTCCTCTGTCCTCATTTCTCTTCATGTGGTTGCGACCTCGCTGGTACTAAAAAAACTCTACAGTCGAACCCCGCTACAACGAAACTTACGGGGCGCGGAAAAAATTTCGTTGCAGCAAAAATTTCATTGTAGTGAGATAAAAAAGTATAGCTAATCTGAGCTAACAATAAAAAGGAACATTTATTCTCAAAATTCAAAAAATGTCCGCTGCTTCCTATTCTTTCCCAGCAGCGTCACGATGCGATTCTCACCCATGCATAGCGAGGCCATGGTGAAAAGCACGCTAAAACAACGCCTAAAGCCGCCTTCCTGAATGAACCAAACAGTTGCATTGACACGTTAACACCAGCTGCTCTTCGCCGTCAAAAGTATCCCACAACGCCGAGATGGAAGCAAGGTATCGTGTAGCGGCGCCTTTTGCATTATTCTATGCCATTTTTATCATCCATCACTCGTGGCTAGCTGATTTCGTTGATAACGCAGACGAACAGCCGCTCTGATTAGTTACCACACTGGCCAAGCGGGAACGTAATGATAAGCATCGGGATTGGAAAAGGCATTGTTCCGCCGTTGCCCCCAGCAGCTGCGTGAAGGAAACCATGAACTGAGCGACTGAGCTTCAGCTTCGGATCGTCTGCGGCTCGAAAGCAAGCCAGTGGTGAAAGCAGGGTAGTTGGGGCAGTCTCATTGCCATTGCTATCTAGCAATGGCGACACCCATGCTTGCTGAACAGCGGCGCTATAGCAGCGGTTTCTGGTGGTGCCAATGTGTGTTTTATACTTTGTTGATGCATTTTCAGGCTCTGAAAATGCATCGAAATGTTAAAGATTGGGTTTACTGCATAGAAATAAGTATCTGAGCCTGAAATTGCATTGTAAAATTTGGTTGAAGTGGGACGATCGAATAAAAAGTGTTCGTAGTGGCGACAATAGTTTTGCATTGACTCCTATGGATTGCTGATGGGGAATCGTGAATTTTTCGTTGTAGCGGAAATTTCGTTGAAGCGGCACTCGTTGTAGTGAAGTTCGAATGTAGAGTCATCCAGGATACATTCAAAAACAGCTCCGACACCTTGTTAATGCCACCAAGGTAAGAACACGATCAAAACAATTGTGATTACCGGACCACCAATGCACCACACTGTTAGCTTTTCTTTTCATCACCTCTGTACACACCACGAGACATATCAGTTAGCACGACAGATACATGAAAGAGACTTGCCGTCTTTGTAGGTGACGGGAGCTTTGTTGGAGAAGTGGGTTTTGCAGAAGATGCAGCTGTGACGGTACTGGCTGCCTCCGCCGAACTAGGTGACGCATGGGACATCTGCTCCCAGTGATTACGCAGCTGGCGGAAACGTTGCATCTCCTCTGCACTTCCTTGCACTGTGTCAGGAAAGTGATTAAAAAAAAAAAGCTGTTGGCTACATCTACATTTTCGCCACAGAGACGGTTATGACGGTGGAATAACGTGACATGATGTGTTGCTCTTCCTGTATTCCATAACTTCGGTGTATTAATGTAAGCAGCCATAAAAGTGTCGCATATCTTAATAACCATCAATACTGCTAGCTTCATTTTAGCAATTTTAGCTAACTCACCTTATAATGTATTATCTGATCGTAAGTTCAAGTAACTTCTCATACTTTCCAAATGAAGTCTGTCCTATCCCTGTCTATTGCTTTCAGCGTGTGTTGCATTTGTGACAAAAATATAAACTCTACGACAACAATAATTCGGGCCCAAAACTGAGCAAGGTAACCATACTACTTCACCACAACTTGCCCAGATTTAATCAACTCTATGAAACACATATTGTGCAGCCCATACCGCAGACTACTTAAGGGGGGGATGCGGCTTTGGGATCGCGAAAAATGGCAACAAAATCGATTTTTCGAAACTCAGGTTTTCAGTTTCTGCAACCCTTTTTCTATCTGGTTCCAAAATATCTACAATGAAAACCGCGCAGAAGTGCTTCGGAAAATTCGTTTCACCCACCTAGGTAGCAAAACTTTTTCTGGAAATTGCGAGAAAACAGCAATTTTAAAAAAATTATAGCTTCACGATGCTTGGGCCGGGAGCCGGCTTCTTGGGCTCATCAGAAAGAGCATTTCTCCGTGTTTAACTTTCCCGCCTCAGCTGGCTCCTCCCTTTAACAACAAGCGCACAAAAAGCAAATGTTTGAAGTTCGTTTTGAGGCCCTTGATTGGCCATGGCCGCCATGCTGCCTCGGCTCGCCTCGCCATTGGCCCGATGCTCGCTCCGGGAGATCCGTCTGCTGCTTGTGCGTCGCGAGGACATGGCTCTCGAAAATCGCTGCTTCGTGACGTGTTCACAGCTTGATGATCATTTAAGATATAATTACGCTTTAGTTACGAGCAGTAAGCAGCTGCGCGATCAGGTTACTACAAGCGGGCGCGCGGTCTATGAGCACCGCACGTCATCGGAGTCGTCTTTAGCCCTAACTCCGCCGACAGCGAGACTGCGGGCAGGAACGATGCACTAGCGCATTCATGGCGACGTGCTTCTTCGCAAGCAACGAAGCTGTAAGCGGTGGCACAATCTGATTACTACGAGTGGCCGCACCGGATAAACGATCAGGTTACTACGAGCGGGCGCGCGGTCTACGAGTGCAGCGCATCAGCGGAGTCGGCTTTAGCCCTAACTCCGGTGACAGCGAGACTGCGGGCAGGAACGACGCGCAAGCGCACTCTTGGCGACGTGCTTCTTTGCAAGGAATGTAGCACATCATTCGCTAGCTCCTCTGAATCATGTACAGGCATTTTACGCACCAGTGGTGGACAACACAGTCAAGCTGGTCAGCCCCCCCCCCCCCCCCCCCCCTTCACTGCCAAGGATTGCTCGGAACAGCGGCTAGCAGTTTCGCGCGTCGTCATTCGAAAATGCGATGCCAAGCGCACTGCGCGCAGATTTTTTGTCAGCGTAGTTCAACATTTTGCGCATCGTCACCGAACGCCGCCGGCAAGTGCATTACGCGCCGACTGCACTGTCCACACGGCCGCGCACTCCACGGTCATATTGAGTGCTGTCAACAAACTTTTTTGATGCAATGCAGACGTGCTAGGAGCCGTGCTTGATATCGCCATGAACGTCTATGAATGTTTCGAGGTTAATGAATTGCTGTAGACTAGAGTTTCCGCGACCGGCTGTATGATGATGCATTTCACGGCTAAAGCGGCGAAAGAGCATGTATGAATTAGGGGCACGAATCTTTATATGCCCGTTTCCCATCATTAATTATACTGCTAAAAATTCCTGTGCCACCAGTCTTCTGCCCATAACATTGTTATTTGGAAAGAAGGCATAGGCCGTTATGGTATGATCCATTTTTCTGATGCAATAAACATCTCTCCAAATAGAGAAAAGTTCAGTGAATATTTGTAATCAAGTATATAATAACGCTAATTACAACTTCAACACAAAAATATGTATAATAATTTCAGTATATGATTTCATTCAATTACAATCTTTTCTGTCATACCTATCACACCACTCCTTCATACAAAGAACTTGGTCTGAAATCCATACTTGTTCTTTGTATATCATGAAAAGGAGTAAATCATGAAAAGAAGTCAAATACCACAAGACAAACCTGAGATCACAGTTTTTAGGTCTCTTAGAGACGTAAAGAAAAACTGACACTTTAAACACAGCTTTCTCAATACTGTTTTTTTGACGTTATGCTCACCCCCTCCACATCGTTCAATGAAAAAATCATTTGTCTCTCGTAAAGTATTTGTGGTATGGCTTCAAAATTTTTATGGCAGCACTGTGAGGTCATTCTTAGTGTCTGTGCCAATTTTCATCAATATCCAACGAGAAACAAAAAAGTTCATCAAAAAAAGCCTGTCGGAAACTTCGACAGGCTTTTTCTCACAAGTGTGTTTTGGACATTGTGCATTGCTCGTGGAACGAGTAGCACGGGAATAACTGGACCGATTTTGATTCTGTTTTTTTTTCCCTGAATCTCTGAACACTGCTTGTGGGTACAGCAACCTTCAATTTCTGTTTTATAGCCCCGTTTTTTCCCTAGACGATGATTTGTCCGTGCCACTGTTTCTGACAATGTGTGCCGACAGCCATGATGATCCTTAAAAAAAAAAAAAAAAAAAAAAGAGAACTTATTAAAGAATTCTGAGAGTGCCATACCCTGTAGCTTTCCTTTGAGTGAAGATTAACACCATTCACAGCTTCCTGGCATGTTTTGTTACAGCGCTAGGCTTTCCACGAGCAGATCATTTAATTGGACCATGTAGCATTATCTAACTTGAGAACTACTGAAGGTATCATGATGAACCTGCATATTTCTCTATTCGAGACACTTATGAGTATGCATGCCAAATTTCATTGCTGAAGGTCAACAAATAAAAAAGTTTTTTTTCATTGCCACCTCCCCGCATGAAGGTGCGTGTTGGTGCAGTTAGCTGAAAGTAAAGATTCATTCGGTGAACTGGGATTGCCGGAACACACACAAGAGACAAGGAAAAGGCACACAGCAGGAACAAACACGAACTACCAACTAGCCCAGCTTTCTATCCTGTCAACAGTACAGAGTGACACCTAGCAACAAACCAACACAAAGGAACACCCCATTTCACTTTTTCCTACAAAAAAAAATGCAGCAACATGCATATACTACACCAATGCTCACCCTTCTGCATTGCAGGGTAGATGGCCTTGGTCCCTCCCAGACCACTGCTGGCCACTGCGGCGCCGCCTTTAAGCTTCTTCTGTAGTTCAAGGACGCGTGACGAGTTGTCCAGGGTCTCTTCCAGCGAAGACGAGTCCACCAAGCTCTGGCAGGTGACAGTGCGAAGGTCGTCACTCTCGTCGTAGGTGCCGTTCTCGTCACTAGGGGTGCACGGGGAGTCGACACTGGGGGGGCTCTTGAGGCCGCCGGGAGACTTGCGGGAAGCGGGCTTGGCATTCTTCAGACTCTGCGCTTCGCCGCCGAGGGCGAAGCTCAGGCTGAAGCCAAAGGGAAGCTCGGAGAGGGAGCGCAAGCTGCAGGCAAGCTCTTCGCGCAGGAAGAACAAGCTGGGATGCGAGAGAAGTGGCACAAAAGCAGCAGACGTCTGGTAGTGCTTCTGCAGTATCTGCGGGCTAGACAGCAGCGTCAAGAACCAGGTGTCCAGGCAGCCCAGGCTGAAAAAGAAAGAAGGAAGAGAATGTTGAACTCTGAAGTTCCACAATCCAACACCCCAACATAAATATAACATACGCCGTAGCCGAAGAATCTCTATTGACTCTAACCGCTTTGGGTTCTGTCACTTAAGGACACTGCACTCTTGATAAACAGAAATCTCTTAAATGGAGCAACTGCCTCTAATATGGTTGGCTTCGTACTTGTATTCTGCACTCATGTCCAACTCTAATGAAACTCTTGTCAAACAGAACGAATTTTCCTGGTCCCTTCAGGTTCCTTCTAACAAGGTCAACTGTGCATGGCTATTTTTGCACTTCATCCACATAAAGATGGAGCTGCCAGGGACAGAAGTTGAGCCTGCATCCTCAAATTTCGCAGAGCAACAGCCAGTACACTATCACAGCCTCAGAAGGACGGAATAGATTGTTGAGGCCACATGCCAAATGAAAGGGGTGAAAAAGGGTGAATTTCCCTGTTTCGTTATTTGAAAGGTTTTGGTTACGTACATACCATATTTACTCGCACAGTCCCTGAACTTTTTTTGACAGAACACCGCAGAAAAGTTGGAGGGTGCGAGAATTACGTGAGGAAACTTTCACAAATCTTACAGAGCGATAAATTAAAAAAGACCAAGTGGTACACAAACTGGGATTCTCATGCTAGCAACTAACTACAAGAATTGAGAAGTACTAGTCAAGATTTAACTTAACAATGAAACCACAGGTTAAAGTCAAGGCAAAATTTCTCCGAGACACAACATCTGCAGTTGTGGAATACTGTACGCAAAGCCTGCAGGCGTAGCATTAGAGTTCGTGAATAGGAGCCTGCAAAAGGTAAGCGTACAACGTTAACCTTGGGCTGATGGCCATCTAACACAGAATCGTCCGTAGTTCCCTTTTGACGAAATTAAGTTTTACCATCCATCCCAGTCTTAGGCACATGGAAAGCTCAGCGCGTCTTGGTGACTTTCAGCTGCCCTTGCTGCCGTCACCAATAATGAACACAATACTCGTCAATTCCAAGGTACCTACTGGCGGCCCTTCTGTCATTGTACAGTGTTTAATAAATCACTTTGAACTTGAAAGCAGCCATGTAGCTTTCGTATCGCCCCATAGCGTAACCACAGAATGAACTCAATGTACGCTGACACGGCTACAACGCATACTTGCCACTTTGGCTTGGCTTGGACTAGATTGAGGTTCCGTGCGTTGATAGTATGCATAATGCTTGAGAGATGAAGCCAGGCAGTCATACACTATCATCATCATCAGTGGTTAGAAGGAGCAGACGACATTACAGCTGCAATTTTAGGGGTTGCCACAATTACTTGCAGAAAAAAAAATCATACATTTGTAGGGCAATGTTCGGTGTGCAAGAAATATGCGAGTGTGAGGACCATAAATAGGGTACAATGTCCCCTATACACCAAGTGTTATCTTCGTGCTCGTACTTAAATTCAGTCTTCCACCTTTGCTTGGTATCCTCATAAGAAAGCTGCGCTTAAATACCAGAACTTTCCCTCTCCACTAGTGTGCCTTAATTCTTAATTAAGGCTGCATATGCATATTTTATTGCCAATCATCTATCAAATGTCATGATGTCCATAGTTCCAATGTTTATGCCCAAGTTTACAAGTTTTAAGGTACCAATACAGCCTCGTTAAATTGATATGACCAGCACTACCGAGTTGAACAATCCACTGCAACAACGCACTCAACGTTTGCAGGAAAAAGCAGTGATTTCAGTTCCTTGCAAAATCAAAGGGGGAAAAAAGTGAATACTATGCATTGACAATTCTTCACCCTTGTTTGTTCCTTGCCAATTAAGTCAACAAAAAAGCATCATGGCAGATGAATTCCCTCATCACACCTTTGACAAGGTCTGTGTATTTTTACAATCGACACGAACATCTCCCATGGCTAATTATGGTTAGTACAGTAGACAATGCAGGGTTCTGTATTAGGCCCCCTACTCTTTCTAATAAATATTAATGACCTACCATTGCATGTTACTAGCAAAATCCGCATGTTTGCCAATGATTACGTTATTTATCATTCAGTTATTAACATTACTGACCAGTCTGCTCTTCAACAGGACTTGCACAACATTAAGGACTGGTGTCAACGCTGGTTAATGATTTTAAATACTGGTAAATGCAAAACAATGTAGTTTTCTCGCAGTCCTAGCCCGTTAAAATTCAAATATGAAATAGCAAACCAGCAACTAGATACCGTATGCCAATATAAATACTTAGGTGTGACGAATAATTTCGACTGGTGTGCGCATGTGAACAATGTTATTGCATCATCTAACAAAACATTTGGGTTTTTACGACGTCATTTACAAAGCGCTCCAAAGGATGTCAAGTTACTAGCTTACAAAACACTAATACGGCCCAAACTAGAATACGCATCAGCCATTTGGGATCCTCGCCAGATATTCCTCACAAACGCCCTTGAGGCTTTTCAGAATCGTGCCATTCGTTTCATTCATTCAGCCTTTTCGTACGATATCAGCGTAACATCCTTGAAATCGGAATCCGGTTTACAAACACTTTCGAATCGACACCACATTGCTAGTTTATCATTATTTCATAAATTCTACCACACCGCGCGAAATCAAGCACCGTATATTTTGCCACCATCACACATACCCTTAAACGTTGCCCATTCTCAAGCTCACACAGTCACCTTTGCATCTTCTTTTTTTTTCCTCGAGCAGCCAAGGACTGGAACGACCTTACACAAGAAATCGCTAACTCAAGCCCTACTGCCTTCATTGAAGCGATCACATCACATTATACCATATAATAAAGTGTTAAACCTGTTGTATATATTGTAACCCACCCCTTATGTAATACCCCCTGGTGGGGTCTTTAAGGAATAAAAGTGAAAGTGAAAGTGAAAGGCATACACAGAGACCCAGACATCACGGAAACATGCAACTAAATCTGAAGCATGCAACTAAATGTTTTTCACTAGGCACCTCTGTTTCTAGGGCTCTGAAATACTTTCGAGCAGACTAAGCTCTTCTAAGAATCTAGTAACTCAACACGCATCTTGAAAACCTCACTGAGCACCCTCAAAAACGTTTCAGTCAAGGAATAGCCAGCATAATTTCAAAGCGAACTGCACCAACTTGGAGCCACACAAAACTCCATTTCAGCACTTGCCCTTTAATCGACAACCGCTGCTGTCACACAAAATTTAAGAAAAATCATTCAACGAAACCACATACTTCTCCCATAGGTTACATGTGAAAGGATGAACATGCTTCATCAAAAGCTTCCATCATAATTAGGCAGCTTGTCTACTAGATAGAGTTCAAAAAGGAACAAGTCGAGGTTCAATTTCAATCTGCGAACCTTTTCTTTCTTCTTTGCAGCAGCAACTTATTAAGGCCACACAGCGTAGGTGCGTGACATTGTGATACAGCTAAGATTATGCTTTTAATTACTCCTCCCGAACGGGCATTAACGCCTTTGCTTAACTAAACTGTATTTCCTAATCCGTGAAATGGCATATGCAAGTACTCACTTTAAGAGACCAAGCAAACAGGCACCAAATTTCTCCCCGTCACCGTGGAAAGCAGTGTCGGCCTGCTCGATGTACTCTACAAGTTCTTGGACTTCTTTTCGTCCCTCCTCTGCAAGATAATATAATAACAAGTATTCAGATTAAAAAATACAGTAAAAAGAACACTGCAGCCTCCACATAGAAGTTTCAAACGTATATATGAGTGCGCTTCCAAATTTCAACCATAACTATGAAAGATTTATTTTATGTGCCACCCCAAATGCACAGTGAGTCCAGTTACAACCCCTTCACCCTCTCATCAGTGACACCAGTTGCGTATTTAAAGGACATGTGCTTGAAATCTCAAAATCTTGCTAGTTTTTTTGGTTTCCATACTTGCTTAGCGATGTCGTCACACAGAATGGGTTAGAGTTTCTCTAACTAGAAGAACATGTCGGCCCTCACTGAAGCACTCGAAGGAAAATCTCAAGCTAGTGCAATCGAACAATCCACAGAGAGGTGAACTCACTGGCTTGGCTAAGGGAGTGAGCCAGGTGCCACAGTGAGTTGGGTAGGCGACCAAACACGCCCCGGACGTGTGGCAGCAGTCCGTCAGACAGCAGTTCTCGAAGCGCGGGTACTAGGAACTCGATTGCCAGACGGCCACAGGCACTGCCTTCGGATAGGCACGGTTCGGGCCCGCCACCCACAGCAGGCTGCAATGAACAGATACACAGCATAAGGACATGCATCTCAGATATCTACAGTTGCAAGCTGTCTGGAAATTCATATAAGTGGCGTCATTAAACTGTCAACATTTCCCTTCTTGTCCTGCGCTATTTGCCTGCACACTGAATTAACAACATTTGCAAATTGATTGATATGTGAGGTTTAACGTCCCAAAACCACCATATAATTATGAGAGACCTCGTAGTGGAGGGCTCCAGAAATTTCGACGACCCAAGGTTCTCTGACGTGCACACAAATCTGAGCACACGGGCCTACAGCATTTTTGCCTCCATCGAAAATGCAGCCCCCACAGCCAGGATTCCATCCCGCGACCGGCGGGTCAGCAGCTGAGTACCTTAGCCCCTAGACCATCGTGACGGGGCAACTTGGAAAGGCGTCCCTACAACTGCAGAGAATAAGCACACTGCTTAGCAAGATGGCAGCTTGAGAGAGCTGGCCCACATTGCAGTGGATACAAACCAACAACTTGGAAACCCAAAACGTCGCAAGAACAACGTGAATCAAGCACCCAAGCATGACAGAATTTCAGAGAAAGATGCAGGCATGAAGTGATGACAAATTGATAATTGAATAATTAACTTCACTGAAGTGAGCCTTCGCAAAGCCTGCATGCAATGCTCGGCTGAAAGTTGGTGTGATTTATGTTGGGCAACATCTCGCAACAATGAAGCTCAAATTGGAGCTACAACTAAACTATCAATAAATATCCCAGCTGTACCCAGCGCCCACGGTAACAAATGGCTGACACCGCCTGGCTTTGCCTTCTCTGAATGTTCTTGAGCATTGACGAGCATCATACTCGACAAGCTCAGTGCACTTCACTGTGAATGCCTATGAGTAAGATGGCCACTTGCATTTTTTCCTCTTCTGTGGCGCCACCTAGCTATACATTTCCACCCAAACACCACTAAATGATCTAAGTCTCAACTGGGGAGAAAATTCAAAAAGTCATCAACTTTAATTGGTCAGACCTCACAGAGTCTTTTCACCTATCCACACTATGAGAAAAGTTACAGGTACTGTTCCTTGACCTCAGTATAGCTAAGCATCCAAGAACCAAATACCTCGACCTGAATTTTGCACAAAATAGCCTAAGAGTGTGTGCCTTGTTTATCATTGTATAGTGCAGCACTATAGCTGACAGCACATTGCACATTTTCTCACTAAAATTCATACTGTGCCAAATATGGCATGTACCGATTTCTGGCTAGAAACTGTAGCAATCAATCAAATTAAAAAAAACTACTAACAAACATAAATTTATGAGGTCTAAAGATATGCCAAGCTATGTTGTTGCAGTGGAAAAAAGGCTGCAAGAACAAAATAGGAATTGCTCTTGTTCACATGGCAGACTTCCACAAAAAACCCGAAATCTATTTCACGCCTGTTTTTCATACTGTGTTAAGGAGGGCAGCAGTTGTTCAAATGGACATCAGAATAGGCAATGAATGGATTTGGATTAATAAATTGTTCTACTTTGACAAACTGTATTTGACGTTAATTTTACCATCATACATTTGAGAAAATCAAGGTGAAAGTTTGACTTCTTAATGTCATGCCGAAAACTCCGCGCATGATCTCATGAATTATAAAGTGTATTTTTCGTGTTTTGGCGACATCGACAAAACAATACACAATAATTTTTTGCTCTTAATTTAGAATTTAACAATTCCAAAAACACCATTCTAACCACGACACGGCGCTAAGCAAAAAAAAAAGGTGAGAAGAAAATGCTGGTGGTGACGCCACCTTGAGATTCCCGCACTTAGCACCGTGACATCATAAATTTTGAAGGCATCTACTGCATCCTATGTAGCTTATAATAGATAAATATGAAACACATTGTCATCCCTCATTGCCATAGAACTAGCATGCGAAGTTTCAGAAAATTTTATCGAGCTAATGTTGCCAAGATACAAAAAATACATTTAGAAATTTCTGTCGTCACGTGCGAAGATTTCAGCACGAAATTCAGAAATGTACCTTCAACCTTGATTTTCTTCGTAAACATTAAACTTATAATAGTGAAACATGCAGCATAGACGTTCTTGGCAGTTTGTCAATCTAAACCAAATCACTTTCCTTTAGTGCCCTGGCCTCCTCAGAGGACAATTTACTTAATCTTTACCAATTAGGAACGGCATATGCCATAGTAAACACAGTCAAAATCTCCGAAATCACAGCTGCCGGTGCGGGAATTTCAAAATGGCGTTGCCATCCGCATTTTCTTTTTGCACGTTTTCTTGCTTACCAAGTGTTTTTTCAACGCCTTCTTGCTACTGATCACAGCATGAAGGCGTTTACCGTATTGTGAGACTGTAATTAGCTAATACATGGAAAACCTTTCTCATCTTTAATGTCCCTTCAAGTGCGGATAACTTGAGATTTGCCAGGTAGTAACACATTCTAAATTGTACCTCTCGCACCCACAATAAAAAATGTTGATCAATAAATGCCGAATATGGGACACTATGCAAAAGAATGTTGACGTTCCAATTATTATGGAAAAAATAGAAAAATCTAGAAACAGAGCATATCACTGAAGACAATGTTTTAACAAGTGGTTATGTCTCCTGGGCAGTGAGCTCAAGGCAGACACATTCTTGGTTGAAAAATTTTTCATATTTTCCATCTTCTTCAGAACTTCTGTTTCGTTTGAATCATTACTGGGCCATTTTAGGAAAAAGTCCACCACCCATAATAGCAGAAAAGTGGTGCAGACAGATACTGTACTTACACTAATGTGTCGCATGTCCCCCCCTTCCTCCCCAGGTTATGGCTACCTGAAGGTGAACCTCACGTTACAATCCAACACTCAAATTCAAGCTGTCTAAAAATTGCAATGACGTACACAATTATGTTTAGTTTTATATTATTTATTTCTTCCTTAACATAATAAAAAGTCACCTCTCGTGTTACAACTGTGGCCGCGCTATATTCGATCGAGTAAATACAGTATGAAGTGACCAGGCACAAGTTATCAAAGTGGACATCATGCGACGTGAAAAACAAATAGGTAGTACGAGGTTATTCACCTGGGATTCCTTTTCCGTGCTGTAGCAGTCGAGGACCTGCTTTATAGACCGCATTGTGTTGTCCAATAGCCCTGCACCAAAAAAGGTAGGCATCATTCCAACAAACGCACTAGAGACCATATCCCCGCCATATTCAAAAAATGGTTACTTATTCGGTAACACGAAATGGCAGAATGTACACGAACTTGTTGAAAGTGATCTTCCGAATTAAATGTCATACTAAGTACTTGTTACTTTATACATAACAAAAAGTCAATGGACAATGGACTCCACCTATTGCATGTTGCAGCACAGTTAAAAGATATGAGAAAGATTTGCCAACTAACAGTCTGTCCTTGCTTTCTTTTCTAATTGTACGGATTATCCGAATTTGAAATTAAGCGCATTGATGGTACAATGCAAAGGGCAACAGTTTGATTACCTTCTAAGGCTGCTGGCGCATGTGCTGTATAACTAAAATGCTAAGTTGCGATCTTAACTGCAAGAGTTTTTGTCGTACATGTACGGCAGCAGTTTTCTGTCCCGCGGTATCTTCGCCATAGAGGTAGTATGTTTTTGACCCTCCACTTGAAATTTCACGCCGTAACAGATGATGCATACTCATTAAGAGGTGAAACCACACTGTTTCGATTTCACTCTAAAGTCGCAACGGAAGCGCAGGAAACTTGATTTTCATCTTTATTGGCACTCCCATGCAGGGACGGTGTAAATTGATTTCGATCGTTAATGATGCTGTTCTTAGCTTGTTTGTCGCATACACTCGTAGATATTCTCGTTATTGATTACCGAGTTTACTCTGCCCAAGACAGCCACCCACAGAAAAAATATAGTGTGCTTGTAAGCAGAACTCATCGCTCCAAAAAGAGAAAGGAGATGTGTGTCATGTGTGCAGACAACGATAAAGCATTCTGCATAAACGCGTTTCAAGGAATACCATGCTCTAAAATAGTATTGTCCTTTTCCAGTTGTGCGCAATGCTGACACTAAAAAACTGTTCCTATTTGAACAATTTTGTCGAGACTTCAGATATCATAAATTCATACCCGCATTAAAATAATTTGATCGTCTAAAAAAGCTTTAGTCAGAAACATTTGACAATGAAAGGGTTAAACCAGTCGCGTCCACTCTTTATTGCATGTATCATGACATACAGCATTCTTCGTGTCATTGCTTTTTAAGCAACGACATGATCTGCCAACAATAAATAAATAAGTGTCACTACTTACTGAGTCGCGCACAAATATTTTCTAGATAAACAATGCATGCTTTCCAGCAGGGAAAATTTTCCTGTTCCGGCTGGATTATGGAGCCATAACCTTTTTCCCAGCTTGAATGATTTTTTCCAGCGGGATTAAACATTACAACCCCCAACTGGAAAGTGCTGAATATTTGTGAGCGACATCCGAGCTTGACAATGACGCACTCGCAAATGCTCATCATCTCGTATCTTTTGCTCAAATGGAAATAGAACATCCATTCTTGTTCTGCATACAGTTGATTCCAGATTGTTGCAAAATTCCTATTAACATTGTAACCCGCTCAGTTTAGGAAATACCTAACTCAACAGCACAGTAACAATCTTATATTTTACAAACCACATATACTGTACAAATAATCAGATATGTGTAAAAATAATCAGATATTTGAAATCAGTACACAAACATACATATATTCAGAAGGTTTCGTCAATCAAGAACATTTTTGAAAAATTAAGGTGCAGCGCACCCTCATAAATTACGACCACTTACCCTTTTTCTGCTCAACAAGCTCCCGCTGACTCCTGGACAAAGGTGACATGCCCCACGATGGGGAAAGACCTTTGGGCGACAAGGTAAACTCATGGGGTGCATGTTGGTCATCCTGGCTGCCACCAAACAATAGCGTCATCTTCCTTGATGGCCTCTCCAGAGAACCTGCAAAACCAATTGAAGCTACGTCAGCTTTTGAAAGAGGCACACATTCTAGGAGTTTCTGCACAAAACACCACACATCATAACGCCGCACAGGAGACACTACTGTGCCACAAGAAAAAAAAAAAACAGAGCTATCGAAGTCCTTCTGTTTATCACTGTGCAATCGCAGGACTTATGAAGTTCTCGGCCTAACGTACTCCAACCCCAATAGACCAAGCTTCACTGTATACAGCACGGCGAGCACTTGAAGGGACCCTGAAACAGTTTCCTGAGGTTTTGTCAGCATTTAGGCTAGAGAATCATCAAAACATTCGCACCACAAGTGTTGTGACACGCTGTGTACCAAGGCCGCTGTAGACAACTATATCATACCCTACTTCTCACCTCTGCCAGGCCTCCTCAACCCATGAGGCATTATGGCATCACTGGCGGTCACAGAGCTGGCAAGTGAGATGAAGATCGCGGAGTGGTTCATATGTGCTTTCACAGGTGCCACCACCCTACCAGCCGATCTTACTTCCGAGCATTCTACAGCCCATAACAGCCAATCAGATCAGCAGCCATGGTGACGTGGATGCTGACGTGCTCCGACCTCGTCAAGGGGCCAGAGCATGTGACATGCTCTGTGAATGGGCAGTTGGAAATGCGTTTGGCCGAGTTCCAACGATCTGCACCAATCTGAAGTGATTCGCATCTTCAAAGCGTTGCTATAAATTGCACAATTTATAGAGAAAGCTCTAAACAGTCTCTAAATAACCTTTCAAACTTGGTGTACCAGCCCAATGTGTTTGTACAATATCGCCAGAACCGTTTCAGGGTCCCCCTAAGTATCTATCAGTACACGGACACCTTGTGTCAAAATTTTTTTTACATTGACTGCAGGTGCAAGTGCTGCATACTTTCGACTAACTAGCTTTCAAGCATGGTTAAATGCAGTAACGTACTGAAGAGGTTGCTCGTGCATAGAACAACATAGGAACATTGTAGGTGCATAAATATGACAATGTAAGCATGTACAACATTAATCAGTAGCTAAACATACATAGTCACCTTACCTGGCACAATGCACCGACTCACCACATTTTTAAAACCTATATTATGTTATACACAGTTAAACCCCTTTATAAGAGACATGCTCCGGGCAGCAACTCTTATATTTTATATGTGATGTCTCTTATAAGCAGGGGACCTTGTATGCATTTTCCTATCCCCCGTATTTTACTGTGGGCATACTGGTGCCTCTTATATCCATTTCTCTTATATCACTGTCTCTTATAAAAGGGTTCGGCTGTATTTTTTTCTATATTATGTACCAGAAGAAGACAGTCTACGTGAATTTTTCCATCAAGAAAGAGACGCACGCAAATGACTTTCCCACAACACGCAGAACTGACCGTAGTTTGCCGTAGGACTTGAGCCGCATGTGCACTTGCAGAAGGCTCCCCGCAAGGGCCGCACATCATTTGCATGAATGTTGAGGTCCTCACTGAAGCTCACGGCCTTCTTGGCACGACAAGACGAACACGTAGCCGCCAGTGGCATGGAGCGCCTCGCATTCCGGCCTCCAGCACGTCGCCACGACCCTTCCGAGTTGGTCCGGGACAGGGGCAGCGAGGAGTCGCGCTGCAAACCTCCACTGCAGGCCAGGTTCGGACAGGGAGGAAGTAGGCCATCCATGTCGGGAAGGCCCTTGAGGAGGCGCCGGTAGTCTTGCAGCGAGTGCCGCCGGTTGCCAAATTCGGCAGAGCCGCCCGCAGAGATCCTGTCGACGTCCGCAGTGAGGGTGTCACACTGGCTCCTCGGCCGACTGTTGGCCTCATCTGAGAGCTTGCGCAGGATCCCCCGTTGTTGTTCCGACGCAAGATTTGAGGAAGGAGAAGCATGGCGGAAGTGTGATACCATGGCCTTAACTTCGGCAGGCAGTAGCACACTCAACGAGTCCCAGTCCTGAATGTGACTCAGATTGCGTCGGGAGAGGTCCTCAAAGTCATTGCATGATTTAGGACGCCGCCAGTGTGGTTCGCTGCTGTGAGTACGCCTATGCAGCACGGGTGACTCGTTGGGCGGCACCTGCGCAGACGCCGTGGCACCTTCGGCAGCTGCTTCCGATGCACCGGGCTGCGGCATTTTGTGCTGGGTGGGGCGGAACACCAGGTCAGGCTTGTCTTCGGCTGCAGCCAGTTCCTTCAGAAAACTGAGATCTGGAAGTGAGTAGTTTGGATAGCAGACATAAATAGATCTCTTTTGCTCCCCATCCTGTTTCAAGATGGCTTCTTGTGGGCGCAATGTCAAGTTGAAGCTTCGCTGTCCGGACACTGCTGCCGACGTATCATCAACAGTGTACAGCCAGTTCGAGTTCTCTGATACAGCCCCCTCCACGCTGGTCTGAATGCCACGGTCCCGTATGTGCACCGGCACTTGTGTGCTCGAGTGCCTCATTCGAGCTATGGCCGTGGGCGGCTGCTTTCGCCTGTTTCCACCGGCACTAAGAAGGAACGTCTGCCTGTGAATCTGGTCGACAGAGTTTTGACGGCTCACGTAACCGCTCGAGAGGAGACTTGAAGAGCGTGCGTTTCGGCCTTCCTCTCCACTTCCACTGCTGTCAGACACTTTCCTCGTAGAACCGGATCCCGAGCCATCATTACAGTTAAAGCGCTTGGTCTGCGTGCTGCGACTAGACTGCCGATCGTCCAACTCTGCAGCCACAGCATTACTGTTTTTATTCACTGTCGTGAAAACATTCTTTATTCTCTCTTTTCCCAGAGGACCACCGAGCAGTGCTCCGCTCTTGGCACAGCGTAACGAAGAATTCACATCGTTGTTGCGCCGCTCAATGACTCCTGCATTGTCCGAAGACGTGCCCCCGCCACTACTTAGCAGGTCGCGGCTATCCTTCATCGTCTCGTCCCCACTGGACTCGAATGGTTCTTCTTCCTCGTGGATAGGGCTCCTTGCATTGGCAGGCTTCATGCGTGCCTGCACCGCTTCCACCAGACTGTCCTCGAAGCACTGCGACGTCTCCTCCTCGCTCTCTGACGTCGCCATCCTCAGCCGTTCATTGTCGTTGGCAGCCGTGGGTTCCACGTTGTTGTTATTGGCCTCCCTGCCCACAACGTTTGTGCTGGCCCGCAGCACTTTTCGCACCAGCGGTTCCACGGACTTTGGTGGAGGAGGCGGGTCCTCGCTGCTGTCGCTCTTGGAGTCCATGGACCCGCTGGAGTCCTCACTGGACGACTGCAGTTGGTAAGCAGTGGCACCATCCCGTGGTGTGGTCACGGAATCCGAATTTTCGGAGCGGCTGCTGGAGAGAGACCCTCCACTGCCAGCCTTGCTTCGCATGAAGAGGCGCAACAGGGACACCGACCGGGCATCGGGTGGATCGATTGCACCATGTGTGGATGCCTACGAGAGAAAAAAGAGAAAAAATAAAAAACAGCACACTACGAATGGCCCACCAAACAAAAAGGGTGCATGAGCAGACTTCTGGCTGCCAAGTAAGAACTGTAATGCAGAAAAACACAGAGACAGCACCCATTCCTGGGCCGGCTGTTCTATATTCTATCTTCATCGTCCTCTACCTCACTCACTTAGCATGAGCTTCTGTGCCAGAGTGCTAGTGTCAATCTGCGTCATCACAGAACGTTGCTTCAAAGCCTCTTGTTTGCTGTCCTTCAAGTAAGATTACCGTAATTACTCGAATCTAACGCGCACCTTTTTTCCGGTTAAGCGAGTTCATAAGTCGCATGCGCGTTAGAATCGAGTACGAACAAAAAAATTACGGCCAATCTATTGCCATCGGCAAATCTAAAATGGCCGCCCCCTACGTGCGTCGGCATGGCGCGTCGTCTATTTCTGCCGATGTGTTTCTCATGTGCGGCACTTCGTACGTGTGCTGAGGAGTTCGTCATCTAGTAGTGCATTAGCATCGACGGCGTGGAATGGCCGACTCCAAAAACTCGAGTGCACCACGATGCCGCTTTTAAAAGGAAAGTCATCGCGTGTGCAGAAACGGACGGAAATCGGGCCGCATCGCGGTCGTTCGGAGTTCCCGAAACGTGCGTGCGGGACCGGCGGAAACAAAAGCAGAAGATTTTCGACAGCAAAGCTTTACGCAAAGGCTTCAGTGGACCACAGCAGGGTCGGTTTCCGCAAATTAAAGAGCTGCTGGGCGAGTATGTGCTTTAGCAGCGAGCAGCACAGCGGCCCGTGACGGCAGAACTGCTCCAAGTGCGGGCTATGCAATTAGTCTTAGAAAAATGTCTAATGCGGAGCCAGTTTTAAGCGAGCAGGTGCTGGCTAACTAACTTTATGAAGAGGAAAGGCTTTTCCCTCCGAAGGGGAACATGCATATGCGAAAAGTTTTGCGGAGGAGTACGATGAAAAGCTTCACAGTTTTCAGAGGTTCGTCCTAAACTTGCGGCGCAACAACGACTACCTGCTTGGGCAAATCGGGACTGCCGGTCAGACGCCTCTTTACTTCGACGTGCCTGGCACCACAACTGTCGAGAAGAAGGGGGCGAAGCAAGTTCGCGTGCTGACATCGGTCCACGGTAAAACTACAGTGACGGCAATGCTCTGTTACACGTCAGATGGGCACAAGCTTCGCCCGTACCTCATATTTAAATGGAAGACGCTCCCGAAAGGAGTCGTTTTTTCGAGTGGTGTAATCATGCGGGCCAGCGAGAAAAAATGGGTGCGCGTTGCAATCGATGTCTTACGTTTTTTTTTTTTTTCACGGTGGAAATCGGGTGCGCGTTACAATCGAGGGCGCGGTAGAATCGAGTAAATACGGTACTTCTCTATTAATTTCTTTGAGAACAGAGCCAGAACTTGTAGGCATTAATGGCAACAGTGACTGTTACACATTCAGCAGACGGTGCTGTCAAAGCTGCTGAAATGCGTAATGCTGTTTTACGTCACCATATGTACCGTTTCACTATAGTCATTTTTTTTTTTTACTAATATGCTTTCTAAATTATAGGCAGTAACTCCTACCTGATATGTTGTAACTGCCACCTTACGAACATGAGGTCACATTAAATCAAGCATTTTTGTACTCATATGCTTTCGGGATGTGGCAAGCTTTTGTTGTAAGTCCAAAAAGTGCAAGCTGTGGCCAGCCACTGTTAGAGAAACATGCAACTTATTTAGCTTAGTGGTCGATAAGTTCAGATCTGTGACACCTTTCATGTACAGATAATGATGCAGCCCGAGTAGATGAACCGTTATTCTAATCATGCTACACATAACTAGCTCTTTCACCTGTGATATGAGCTGCTTTTTTTTGTCATGAACGTAAGCTGCGAAAGAAGTGAGCCTACACAGCATAGTCCCTTGCGTACGCATGCGCGTAATAGCCTGATGCATAACAAGAACCTAATGTCAACTACACCAGGTCGACAGGAAGTCTAAAAGTCTCATGATGCAAAATACAATATGACATTACTCAAAAAGTTCTCTTTTGAAAAATAGAAATCACCTGTTGTTAAAACTTTCTAACAATTTATTAAGAGAAGACATGGCAATAAAAACTATTTTGGCTCTTCAGGGAAAAAAATTGATGAAATTTAGCATGCAAATATGATTTGGCATTCTAATATCATAAGTGGGATCAATTCTGAGCTTTATGTTGTGCTTTTTGAGTTGATAGGCCCTCATTATAATTCCCAAATTCATTTACAAGAACTAATTTCATTATATTTGCTAAATGTTGTTTGCAAGGGCCCTTCTGTCCTATCAAACATTGGTTTATTTTTTAAATACTCACATAAGCACAGAAGAATTCTTAAAATGCCCTATACATTCTGCCTGCAAAAGAACTATAAACAAATTAGTGTGATGTCGCACAGGGTTGTCCTACACGTCGGTATGCCATGATGAGCTGCTCCTGTGCATCAACAAGGGAAGGGCCCTGGCATTTGAGGATATACTTGTGAAATATTGTAATGATTTTATCTCTACTTGTTGTAAAATGGCACAGGCATGACCTACAGCAACTGCACAAAAGATTAAAGCAGAGAAAATGGAGCTCAGGGAAAAGGAAGCCCAAAGCTAAGAAAACTGAACTCAGAAGAGATCCAGAAGAGATATAGCTTCTGTTTTAAAGTTACATATGCGAATAGTGAATTTTGGAACTAAGTAAAATAAGAATAGAACAGGCACGGCATCAAATCGAATATGAATAAAATACCACTTGAATAATTTTCGAATAACAAGGAAACCATTATCGAAGCAGCCGCAGGTTAGTATTGTACCCATTTTTGAATGAGCCCGAGAATATCACGATATTTTTTTTGAAGCAAATATTCACAAGCTTTAAGAAAGAAACTATACGATACCTTTTAACCTACAAAATGTGCTGTAATTATGTAAACTGATGCAAGCTCATATGCAGCAGAAAATACAGCCTAAGAAACAGTTCGTAACTACAAGTGACTAGTCACTTCTGCAGTGGCGCACAGTCAACCGAGATTCTAAATAAAATTTATACACAAATATTAAACAATATTCATGAGTCAGCATGATTATGAATGTAAAGATGAAGGTAAGAGATTGATGAAGCTATCTATACGGCAACACTCAATTTTAAGCAAGAACATCTTCAACCTGTGATCAATCTAGCTTTGATATCCCGTAAAGCCTCGGGCTGCATGCATCTTGGTAACTCTATGATTAAAACAAAGAATGTTACGCCTCTATGCTACGTTTCCTTCCTCTGAAGTTTTTCGCATCGGTTCTTATCAATCGAAAAGTATTCAGTTTTTCTAATATGTACTATTCGATTCAAGTAGCAAATTGAATAAAGTATTTGATATGGTATTCAAAATATTTGAACATTTGCGCACTCCTATTATTTTTTATCGACAAATGGTGATCTGTGGCTATTTTGAGCTTCGATCTTTCTTCTTTATGACAGTGCCAAGATGGTGGCACTGTACCGAGGGAAATCTGCAAGGTTTGGCTCTCTGAAGCCAGATTTTTTCACATTTCTTGCTGCCATCACGTTAGTAGAGTGTTTCTTAATTATTTCCTCCCATTTTGTACAGACGTCAAAGAAAGTCATAGGACTGTGAAAAAAAATTAATCAAAATATTGAAAATTTTGACCAAATTTACTGTTCCCACGTCCATGCCTCCCCACAACCTGCACTGAGGAATTACAGTTATTAGACAGACACACTGCAAAGTTACAATACAATATTACAAAAACTGCCAAGGCGCTCCTCCAGAATGCACTCTGCATAGGCAAAATGTTGTGTGAGATGTGTTGACCAACATAATGCTGCATGGCGGAACCGTAGAAGCGCACCAGGCATTACAACATGTGAATTCAACATCGCCGTTGGACACAGCATGAACAAAGTGTGCAGCTACCTATATTGCCTTACATATGTTTGGCGAGTACTTTGAAACTGTGCAAAATTATGAGTACTAATGACATAGTGGGTACTTTACAGAATTACTTGCAGGTGCCTTGGGAGACAAGATGCCACATGCAGAAGAAATCCTTTCCACAGGGCACAGTCGAGCTGTCTACTGTGGATCAAAGCGTGCTAGCAAACAAGAAGGCAATGCATATAGGCTTCAGAAGACTACCATGTTCCACTCTTAAATTCGCAGCTTCAGCGTTCACTAATCTTTTTACCAGCACAGATGCTTCGGCCTACCATTAGTCGAACAAAGAACCACTGTTAGTCGAACAGCGAACAGAGAACTACCATCCTTTTGAACTGGCACGCGTTCTCTTTGCCCTTTTCTTCCTCTTCCTCCTCATCTTCATCTTCTGCCTCACTCCCAGAACTCTGATAGATGAGAAGACAAGTAGAGAGAGAGAGAAAGGAAAGAGAGACAGAGAAAGATATAGACAGAGAGCACAAAATATAGGCGTAGAGAGTAAGATATCAAAAAACACAAAAAACTGTAGAAAACAGAGAGAGAAAGACAGAAACAGAGACAAAAAGAAACAAAAAACAGACAACAAAGAGATAAAGAGACAGAGAAACAGAAAAAGGGGAGGAAAAAAAGGAAGACAGAAATAGGGAGAAAGAAAGAGTGAGAAAGATATACAACATACAGAAAAACAAGAGATAAAAAAACAGAGAAAGAGAAAAAAAAACAAAAAAAAAAAGAAAGACGAGGCAGGCTTCCCAGCTTCGCACTTCCTTCAGACTTGGCACCCCTAGCACAAACCAGCTAGTTTTCTTTTTTAATAATCAATCAACTATTTCTCAATTCCCTTGAATTAAGTAAACTTTAATCTGGCATTATTTCTCAAACGTAACCAAAATATAAGGCAGTTTGGATTCGGTGCCTGCCTTTGAGATGTCTGTGATCTTTTTTTTGAACTCTAATGTTGACATATATCAACATAGTACAATATATAGTAATGCTTGTTCCCCCTCTACCTGTAGCGTGTAGAGCGGCAGGCAGCTGCCAGCCACATCCATGCGCCCTGCCACGGCTGCCGACCGTCGCAGAAGGTTGGGGAGGCTCTGGCTCTTCCCGGTGTCCGAATCCGGCTTGAGACGAATGCCTGACGACCTTAGCCTGTGCCAGGTGGTGAAGGACAGCTCGGACCGTGCCATGGACCCAGGACCACCACTCGCGGGCTGCTAAAGCACGGCAAACAAAGAAATTGTTGCAATCACTCAAACAGCTGGAACTCTGGTGTTATACAGTTAAACCTGCCCCTACCGAACTTGCATATAAAGAAGTTTTTTTTGTTTCCCGCCGTTACTGCATACAAGCCACATGTATTTGCGACCCCTGTGTAAGAAAGTAACAGCGAGCGACATCCTTGAGGTAAGGAATTTTCCCCACGGACAATCTAAAAATTTTTCATGAATTTCGACATTTTGGCATGAGCATACATCTTCTGCGAGTGCGCCGCCCCCACCAAAGAGCGAATTCGGCAGCAGTTATTGCATGCGGAAGTGCGCGAAGCGGACAAGCAGGCCTGCGCCCTATGAGCCAGCGTTGCCGCCATTCTTGCCACCGCAGGCACATGCGCGGATGTGTCCTCCTCTTTCCCTTCCCCTCCAAATCAAAAAAAAAACTTTTGCGTTGACAGTGCCACGCTTTTAGTTAGTGTCGCATATGTGGGACCGCAAGCATATGAAGGGGGCTTTACCAAATAGTTTTCCGCGGTATCCGTGTCGTTCTCACTTCATTTTCGACACCGTACGTGGGTGCATGGTTTCACTGCATGCGTGATGTGGCCCCCAACGACATTCAGCATTGCTTTTTTTTCTCTTTTTTTAAATGCGGACAACCGTGTCGTCACTACCAAGTGGATGTCAGATTAGGCACTAATGGAAACTTTTCGAGACCACGGTGATAATGACTGATCTTCGGAGGTAAAGTCGCGTTTCCGTTCTGCGAGTATGCGGGATCGCAGCCTTCGTGACTAGCCGATTACCTCTGGCAACAACATGACAGTGCATTCAATACAATGAATGCGATAGGAACAAATTGTAATGTTATACGAAGTAAGGAAAACTCCTTTGGATTCGATAACGCTGAATTCCTACAAAACACTAGTGTGAGCAAATAAGGCCACTCCAAGGAGAAGTGTTCCTTTCACACAGTCTCTTTGCGTTGAAGGCGCACCTATAGTTGCTGAGATAGCATGCACGCTAACGATCGCAATCGCGCTCTTCAAATCAATGTTGACTGTTGCTAATTGAGTGACCCCCCCTCCACCCCCCCACATATTTTCATGTTCGGAACGAGTGGATTCCTTTCTGTTTGAGCATTCGACGGCAGTTCTAACATGCGGGGGGGGGAGATGTAAGCATATGCGCCATCCAGGCGATAGAGATGCCTAAAACTGCTGCTTGGGCGAGTTGGTTCATGATTATTTAGACAGATTTATCAGCGCAAGAAGACAACTTTTCGAGAAGAAAAACACACGCAGCACTGTACTCACAACTGATTTACTATTTCAAACACAGGGCCTTTTTGTAGGCACGCATTGAAACAACAGAAGATAACATGAACAGAAGTGATGAGAACCATGTGGCAACCTCTTACCAAAAAGACAAATAACCGAAAGCAATCCCGCCGTCTAAACTTCTTTTTTTCTCCTTTCATATTGGGGGGCGTACCTTGTGGCATAGGAAGTTTAGAGCATGAATAATCAGCGGTAATGTCTGTGCTAAATATACAATAGTTGCACCTTTTTGTGAGAGATACAAGAGAGAAGGTAAAAGATACGTTTGCAACAAAATAAATACCGCTCCAACTTTATCATCAAGTAACAGGGATTTACCGCATGCTACAAAACGCACGCTCAACACGTCTGCCCTAAGGACCCACCGTAGCACTGACAGCACTGCCGCTGTGGTGGCTCTGCTGGTCCGAGGGAACGCTGCCTTCCGATAGGTCGTCGGAGAAGTGTGTCCCGCTCTGCTGGAAGGCGATCGTGTAGTTGTCCTTATTGGCCTGGCACGTCAGCACAAGGTCGTGCTCCTCGAACGAGCTGCAGTCGAGGCTGTCCGTGGAGAGGGCACCCCCACTGACACCACCGACCCGTCCGCTCGTCAACGGGGGCCCACACTCCTTGACGGGCGAGAAGAGTGGTTCGTCCCGACAGATGGACATCTCGCCAGAGTCCTCGTCGTGCCCCGAGCTGCTCGCCGTTTTTGCGCTAGAACACAAGAGCAGAAAGGAATGTCAGTGGAAGTCCATTCCTTTTAAACTCAGAATGCCAGCTTGCTTGCTCCTACCTACATACACAAAAACAAATGATCATAAAAACAGATAAGAAAATACCACTGATCGGCAAACCACCAGATATGTAATGCAAAGGATGTAGCTTCGACCACCCATGATACTACTAAACTTGCCATCCATTTTCAGTTCCCTTCATTTGAATAATTCTAAATGTCAGTGAAAAAAAAATTGCCTCTTTGCTTATAGTCTGGCTACAACATTGCTTTTTACACATCACTGAAAACTAAAAGATCAGGTACCATGAATTCCTTTGCTCTTATTGCTCAGCTTGCATAAGATTAACTGATGTTCATAATACCTCACTTCTTGATCATGTCATTACAGGACAAATAAGGAATGTTCCAGCTTGGAGTCAACGCTTCAGTTAAGGGCATTTGCCTCTGTCAAGGCCTGGCAAATAATCTCCCGGCCAAGGCATACACCGAACACTTTATTGAACACATGTTAATTTATTTTTTGAGTCAACGTGGTGATGTCAGCTAATTGGCTGCCTGAAAGTGTAATCGTTTTGGCGGCACAAGTTTATATTATTACACACACGCACACAGGAAAATTTGTGGACCAGATGAAACAAAACAGGTAGACTTACGTTATACTGCACTAAGTTTCTGCCGTAAGCATAACTGCAAGTTACAGCAGTCTTTCTGTAAGCACTATTTTACATTTGGTCTCTTTTTCGCTGGCTGTCAATATACTAAAGGCAACGCGTCATCTCAGACTACTGTTTCGGCAGGGGAGCAAGGATTAACTACTGATATCACAAGAGACCACGATAGCCTTTCACATTTTCAGCCCTTTTAACAATGCAGAAACAAATGTGAAGCGCAGAAATGTTTCCTGCAATGTTTAAGGCTTTCATTTTCGTCCTGTTTCACTGAACTACCACTTCGAGCAAACAAATAACAGTTTTCAGTATGTGTAAGTCTGAAAATTTAATTTACAATGCTAACCTCCTGTGATATCACTGCAAACAACTTAAGCATTATCTTACTGGGAAACCTTTATTAAATTAGTCTCACAAAATGTCTTAACAAATGAGGAAAAAATTGCATGTTTGTTGTCATTATCAGTCATTCATATTAACAGAAATTCATTGAGTGTATAGAAAACACATAAATTTAGATTGTCGGACTGTATTAGCAATCCTAAGCTTGACAGTATATTGTAAAATTATTTCCATAAATTGAGCAAGTGTATTTAGAGAGCATTTAGGCAGAAGTGGAGAACTTTCCTCAAGTGATGTGCACATTCATGCGGAGAACACAGACTTCTGCTAGTATTTTGAATCAAGGTAATTCAGGAATGTCCTGTAATGAGGACAGTTTGCTCAGCAAATTGGTACTGTGCCCTGAAAAGAGCGCATAAGTTGAGGAATGCCATATTGAAGGGCTAGAAAAATTTTGCCACCTAGTGTTCTTTAGCGTGCACTGACATAGGACAGTACATGGTCCTCTAGCGTTGCGCCTCCGTTCATCTGGCGGCCTTCGAGTCAGCACCGAAATGCCGTAACCGCTACACCAATGCGGCAGACAATGTGTCTATATGTTGATCCCACCACTTACTGCACAGACGAGGCATCTAGAGGCAGAGCCTCCAGAAACGAGCCGGACACCGAGGCACACTGCTCTCCTCGGCTGGCCGACTGGAAGTCCCCTCCGTACAGGGCAGGAAGTGTGAGGATGGCGTGAATGTCCTCCGACCTGAAGGTCTCCATGTCGATCTCAGCCAGGTTGGCATCAAAGTTTTTAGACAGGTCCTCATACGAGAGATCCACACCACCGAGGCCCCCGCCATCATCACCTATCACGCAAGCAGCATCCCCGGACACGGACAATATGCTGCGCCGCATTAGCCGACCCGATGATGTGAGCGATGAGGAACATAGATGCCTCTGGAATTCTCTGGAAAAGAATGAGAGGGAGAAATGAAGCAATGGAGGATTGAAAGTTGACACTCTTACATTTCACAACCAGCCAGTGGTGCGAAAAAAAAGAATGCCAGAACACTTCTGTTTGCATATTTCACTATGCAACCCCAACCTGCACGCTTGCACAGCCGGAATTCAAGTGATAATGCGGCAAACAAGAAACCATTGAAGAAGACCTCTGAAATGGACACACTCACCTGAGATTCAATCCCTTGTTATCCTATATATTCTCATCGTCGAACATGATTCCATTGTCAGGTATGTCTAAATGGCAAGCACATCACACTGCTCCAACTACTGCTGCTGTTAATGACAAGCCATGCATTTGCCATATTGAGCACTGTCACGCACTTCGAGTGAGGCCCCGCCGACCCAACATCGACGTGCGGCAGACTCGCAGGCTTCCACTTTACGCTTCGACCTGCGACGCCTGAAAGGCCTCGAAGTGGCACATTTCAAATTTATTTGCGGGTTGGCCGACCCGTGCGGGGTTGCACGTGTGGTGATGTGTGGGCCTGACCGACGCACTCATAGAGCAGACACGGAGATTTTATACAAAACGAACAAGCATTTAATGGAAACAATAGCACAGGCAGGAGATTACAAAAAAAAATAACAAATGAGGGAAACTGATACGCGCGATGGAAAGACAGCTAGATAACACAATATGCTAAAAGAACACTACAAGAGGTACTCGCACAGGCCAATACGCGGAATGTTAATAAAATAACGACAAAAAATGGAAATCAGAAAAGAGCGATACAAGGGAATAATTACACAATGATCATGGTGGCGCTTTTGAATTTAAACGTGCGACGCAGCGCACCCTACAAATATTTAAAAAAAGGCTGGTTAAAATAATTTAACAGTTTAAAAATAGTCACAATAAAAAGTTCCATACGGACCAGGCCAGCTCTGGGTGCACGTAGGGGAGTTGACGGGTGCCGCTGAAGGTCTCGCCGGCTTGGTAGACGACGAGGGTGCCCGGAATTGCAGCCGTCTCAATACGTTGCGCGGGTCACTCCGTGCTCGCCGCCCACGCGAGACTCGCGACACCGACGACCGCACTTGTTGCTGGCTGTACGTCAACTGCCTTTTCCGATGCAGTCCAAACCTCTTCAGGGGCGTACACGTGACCCCGTCTCATTTGGGGGTAATTTTCCTTTTTTTTAGGCCGCTGGTTCCCCTTTCGGTACAGGTGCAGGGAAGACAAGCCGGCGCCACGCTGGGTCGTTAGTCGCCGGATGTCGTCTCCCGAACACAAAAGCGCCCCTCTTTGGAAGATGGGGCCCGCGGATAATCCGAAAATTGGAGTCGTTTGTGACAAGCACCAACTAGCCAATGTACAATGAAGACAGGTGCCATGTGATACATAGAAAAATCAGGAGAATATACTGGGTCACTGAAAGGTGCTGTAAAGGCTCTTTAAAACTAGTAAAACTAAATACTATTCTGCCACAGTATTTGTAGAGCTTGTAACACAAATTCACAACCAAATGCTAACACGGTATGAAGGCCAATAATGCACTTGCATCCCAGAAAAACAGTCAAAAACAGAAATAAAAATAACAGAAAACAAAAGCACTGAGCTGCTCTCAGACTGTTTTATTCGAAATACAATTGTACATATGCTCCGAAAGCAACGAGCTGCACATTGTTCAGGTACCAAGTGCAAGCTGTGGCTTGGTGATATTTCCATTCATCAGGCAGCACACGTGCGAGACAAAAAAAGTACTCATTTTTCGCAAGTACGTCTACACGTTCGTGCCGTAGAGTCACCATGAAAACGGAAATCATTTGTTGTGCAGTTTGCTTTTGTGGAAATTTAATACAAGTAGTCCAGTTTGCATCATTCATAAGTGTTCACACATTATCATGTGTGAGTATAAACTGTGTCTGCCAACTTATATTTGATACAATATGAAAAAAATTAATGTATCCCTGAGTTTGTTGATAGGCTCCGCCTTGTGTTAGTGCAGAACTTTTTGTGACTTAAGCTGTTTAACACTACAATTAAGGAAATGTTTGTATTAAAATAGCTACCATTATAAAATCTTTTGCTAGTTTTACTTAACCAATTTCAAACCATGACATGGCCATTTCAAAACCTATCATTATTCAGCATATATATGAATGGCACAAAATGGCAAGTACATCCTACTTATCTATGTAGCATGGTTAAAGCCGCATGTAAACCAATTACACTGGACAAACCACGATGGTACAAATTTTTTGGATCCTTTTTGTTGAGCAACGTCAGTGAAAGAAATCTTACCAGCAACACTTACCCTTTGGCAGGAAATGCACACAATTGAATCCACCATTTGTATCAACTAGGGGCTAAGAAAGGCAGAGACATATCTCACTGTGGATGAATTGAACCTCCTACATTATCAATTGGTCTTAACTTGATTTAATTTTACAGTACACTGTTGCGTATGAGCACTTTACTGAAGGCACTATCACGTTTAACAAGCTCTTTCAAGTGCGCCACTTCCTGCAATCAACATGAAACGTATTTTTACTTGCTCAAAATAGACATTACAAAAAATTTATTTCCACATTTCTAGCCATAGGTTCCATCCTATATATGCAAAAAACAGAGCATCAATGACCTCAAGATAAATAGATATGTAATTATATCTTAGTTAGAATTAGTTACTATAACATGCATAAATTATTCTATTATAGCATTATTTTTACAGCAAAAAACTACTGAGTGCTTTGAAATAATGTTGCATCGATTTAACACATCCACAGACAGGTCTTCATAGGTGGCATTTAAAAAGGTTTGGTATGTGGCATTAGTATCGGGATACAAATGGCACAAGAAGGCAAATACATCCTGCTTATCTATGTAGCCTGGTCAAAACTGCATCCCAATGAATCTTGATGGACAAAATGCAACTCTGGAAACCTTATAGGGCTTCTTTTATTGAGTGATGTCAGTGGAACAAGTTACCACTAATAGCTATCCTTGCTTCTGAAACGTTTCCCTTCCCCCTTTTACATAGAAACAGCTGTTCAGCACAACTGCCACTAAAAGTGTTATCGAGAATGTGGCGGCTATACTGGTTAATTAATAGATGCAGAATGATTTCATAGTAACAGATTCTGAAGCCCACCTGTTGAAAGGATAGTCGGCACACCACTGCAGCTCATCTCCCCCATCCTGCAGCAGCACAGAGTCCGTGCACGAGGACGTGGTGCTGGCTGGTGCATCCTTCTGGGGCCGTCTTAGTGCCCCGAGGCTGCTGCTGTTGTTGTTTGTGTAGTTTAGCTGCGACAGGTCATACTGTTGCTGCTGCTGAGCCAGGGCAGCCTCCATCATGCCTGACAGGGCGCCTGCTCTACCTGCGACACGGCAACGAACAAGTACAAACACAGTTAACGCCCAGTTCTACCCTTACCTTTGGCTCACATGTTCATCTCTGTATTGGGCAACAAGTACCGGGTCAACTTCATAAAACTTGAACACTATGTCAGCATTCCATCCAGTAACACATGAATGTCTATTCTACTCGATATGCAAAATGGTCATTATGTGACATCTAATTATGGTGTTGATCAGCATACCAATGATTTTCCGAATTGCACATGTAATAAACATCAGCTTTTGTGGAGCCTTCAATAGTAATGAGGTGTTCATCTTAGATGAGGACTACTCTGAACATGTAAACCTTGCAATTGAAGGTTCTTTCTGAATGCCTATCCTGTGCATATTGTGCAAGGTCTGGGTTTGGCAAGTGCATTGAACCCTTGATCAGAACGTTTCTACGGTCATCAAATACACACAGAAAAAGAGATGCCACCAGTGCTTTATAGTCACCATGCTGTGGGAGGCAAACTGTACGAAGTAGCAAGGTGCTTGTAACCACAAGCAAAAGAATCATGTGAGCATGGTAGTGATGGGCGTTACAAGATTTTGTCCGGGTCTGCGAACCCGTGCTGCATTGCAGTTGAGGGAGGGGACAGCACTGGTGTAGCTTGGGTAAGAGCTGGCGCCGGTAGGGCTTGAGGAGGGGGGGGGGGGGGGGGGGGGCAAGTGCCCCTTTTACACCATCATGCCCACGCCCATGGTGGCAGTTCGTCACGATTTTATCACATCTATATTGTACATTTACTAAAGTGAAGGTGCTAAACTAGACATGCTGACCAGGGGAGCCTGGTACGGCCTAGCCACATAAACGAATGAACAAGAAAAGTGGCACTGTCTGCCTTATAGTGCAGAAGCTTCGACTGTTTAACCCATTCCTCCTGCAGTCACACTGCAATAATTTATATTAAATCAAATGGATTAATCAGCGGTGATGCATATTTATCAGAATGACTGCCAAATCCTTGTAATGGCGAGATAATACTTGCATTCATTTAATGACAAACGTATATATGGGCACACCAATGATACATTTCTTTTTCAAAGTCTGGAACATTGCGCAAAACACGAAATTCGGGGATATTTCCGATTCTTTGTCTGAACGAAGATATCACTCACCACAAACAAAACAAACAATTAACCCTAGTTATATGTGGACGTTAGTTGACTTGATCAGTTGCCCTCTTGAATTACCATGGACGGTCGTCCCTGAGCAAGCTTCAGGCTAATTCAGAGCTCATCAGTATAGCATCTCTGCCACACAGAGCTCTCAATAGATCGGCATTCGCGCAAGGATGCATCTGGAAGATGGGAATTGCATGCCGAGGCAGAGCCCGGACATCTAATCCGAACTCAGAAAGCAGATTCGTCTGCAAGCTCATTTCCGACTGTATTTCCTACCCTGCCTGTAAGGATAAGTCGATCAGACCCCGTCACACGCCACGAACGTCACTATACTAGTCGAGATGGGCAACACGCACGCATAAAGAAAAGAGCAGGGCGAAAAAACGAGGCGGGTGGGGTGGAGGTAATGCGGTAAAGAATGTTTTTCTGCAGCCCTTGTATGCAGCATCACAACGAAACCCAAAAACAAGACGCTGGCAGGGTGCGTATGAGCTTAGATGCGCGCGATCCGCCGCTAACAACGCACTCGGCGCCACCCCTTCAGTCAACCCTTTTCACTACTTCGTTCGTTTCTCTGTTTGCTTTCGATATAAAAGCAGCAAAAATGCCTTCCGCACAAGTGCAGGCACGCAGACGGCGGAACAAAGAGATAACGCGTCGCCGCCAAATGAAAACGCGGTAATGCCCGACACTCCAGGACAAGCAATCTCAACCGAACAGCTGCAGCCACCCGCACGTCCGGTGTTGCATGAGCCGTCCTACGTAACACGACGCGTAGACCCGCACGTGCGTAAAAGGAAGCTCGCCGACCCTGCACAATCATTACCTTCACAATTTTCGGTTTTTAACGTCGCTACATCGGCAAGCACTGGAACGACTCACCGGAAAATGAAAGACAACTAAGTGGCAGCAGTACGTCCATACTTCTATCGACGTACACGGCTTTCCTATGGTCGCCGCCCTTAGCAGCGTCTTTAAATGCATTCGGGTTAGAGCTAAACCTAAAGCAAACGAGCGAATCGCTCGCGTGTTTCAACAGGGAAGACGAACCCATATGGATGGATGAGCGTGCCCTTTATAACGATGGATGGATGGATTGATATGGCTGTACCCTTTAGATCGGGCGGTGGCTAACGCCACCAAGCCGTAATACTTAGTGAACCAAAAACCAGATTTATTTTCTTTTTCCCTTTAAATATCGAAGTTGAGGTCTGGTACTTTGCAGTGAAGGGTTTAATTTTCACTCGTGCCTTGACTTTAGCAACCAATCAGATAACCTCCTTCTAGTTAATTCTACCCTCCGTGTCCCTGTACCCCAGTGCTTATGAAAATTCTGCGCCATCATCCTGAACTATGGGGTGAAGCCCTTTACAGAACATTATCAAGTGTTCGGCAGTTTCCTCCTCCTCTCCACACGCACTGCATACCGTGTCTACCCCTTCGTATTTGGCCCGATATGTCTTGGTTCGCAATACTCCCGTCCTGGCCTCAAACAGTAGAGAACTACCCCGAGTATGATCATAGATCCTTTCCTTGACAATTAACTGCATAAAAGTTCGATAGATCTCTAGTGCGGACTTCTTAATCATGCCAATTCTCCACATAGTGGTCTCAGCTTCCTTCACCTTCTTCTTAACCGATAGTTCTCTTTGGTTTTGCCCCCTGCTGTTTTCTATTTATCAGTCAAATTTCTGGTTCGCTTCTTCCATATTGTATCGACATTCTTCATGTACAAGTAGCTGAATACCTTCCTAGCCCAACGCTCCTCCCCCATTTCTCTCAATCGCTTCTCAAATTTTATCTTGCTGCTAGCTTCCCTGCCCTCAAATGATGTCCATCCCACATCACCTTGTACTCCCTGATTTGGTGTATTCCCGTGAGCTCCTAAGGCAAGCCAACCTATTCCACGTTGCTTAATTTCTGATCTTGCTTGAACTGATGTCATGCACAAGACCACATTGCCAAACGTCAGACCAGGAACCATGACCCCTTTCTATATTCCTCTCACAACATCATGCCTATTGTAATTCTACAGTGCCCTGTTTTTCATCACTGCTGCATTCCTGTTACCTTTAGTCGTCACGTATATTTCGTGTTCCCTTAGGTACTCGGTCCCATTGCTTATCCGTACGCCCAGATATTTGTATTTATCTGTTATCTCTAGCGTGACCTCTTGTATTCTAAGCCCACTACCTACATTATCATTATAAATCATGACTGCTGATTTTTCCTTACTGAATCTGAAATCTAACCTATCTCCCTCATTACCGCAGATGTCCATCTCCCTCATTACCGCAGATGTCCATCAATTTCTGCGAACGGAGCGGTGACATGAGTGCCACCAGGCTCGCAAGAAAAAAAAAACGAAAAGAAAGCTTTCTTTTTTAAGTTAGCCTAATGCCTTATCTACTTCGATCAAATCGATCTTAATATAACAAAGAAAAATATAAACTCGTGGTCCATCTCTCTGCCTCTTCAGGTAGAATGGCCTCATTTTCCCACTATTTCTGTCTTTTATTTCTACTTTTCCGTTCTCTTATACTTGCTTCTATCGCGGACCTGTTCAGCGTTCCGTGGTTGTCCGAAACCCACAGCCTCATGTACCCACACCTGGGTGGAGATCGCCACATTCAATCGGAACATGTTCCATCGTTTCCATGGCTCCCCCACAGCATGAGTACATTGTTGTTCTTTATTAAAGCTAGCTTTATGACTACGCGTTCTAAGGCAACCAGACCTCGCTCCGAAGAGTAAAGCGCTTCCCCTTAAATTATCATAAAACATTTACCTCCTTATTTCGTTTTTGCCCTTTCGGTAGTTAGCTCCGCCTCTCTGACGTTTAGCTTAATGCTCCATGCTGCCATATCGCACACACTGCCAGCCGTATATTTACTGGTGAGCTTCCCAGTTCTTTTTCTCCACTTTGTGGCCAAGCAATCAAGCGCTCTCTTATAGTGGCTAGAAAGGTTATCTCTCTGTCGTCTCTCGTACGTTATTTTTTGGCGCTAAAATCAAACTGTCGTCATATGCTTTCCATTTGAGTTTGAAGGCCATAAAAACCTGCGCATCTTGTCGACTGACGGACAGGCCTTTGTGCGAATTAACCATTTGCATTGCTGAATGTCGTCTGCAGGGATGTAGATGCTTGCGTATGGTTTCCCTTCAGGGGGGAGGGGGGATTTCCCCTCTCTATCATATCGAAGAATAAGGCTGACTTTTAGCCCCCCTTTCCCGTGCACACGCCTATATGAACAAGGGTTTGCAACCACGGGGATCACGAACGGTTTGCTATACCCGGTTTTGCAAAACCATGACGGCATGCGGCGCTGCAGGACAAACAATTCCGACAAAAAGTGTTCCACGACGCTTTCCGTGTTACCGTTCCACCACGGTGGAGCAATGATTATGCTCATGCATCCAGCTGTCCCGAAAATCGTGGGTGTTACATCATGGGTGTTCATATTTGAGTGGACGCGAACTGGTAGAGGAGGTGTTCTGTGGTAGAGGCCCGTGTATACTATGCGATGCCGGTGCGTCGTCAAGAAACAACCGATGGCCGAAATTTCTGGAACCCTCGATCCGCTACGGCGTCTCATAATCGTGCCGTGGTTATTGGACCTAAAATCCGAGACGTGTTATCACTCCTAAACGTTCTGTTGTACAGAAGAAAACGGGTACCATAAAAACCAGTTGTTGGGCTCTTTGACAACAGAAAGGTGGACGCATATAGATAGGACTGTCGGTCAACAACGGGTTCGGTGGTTGACCATGAAAGCAATCGCACATTTCATTTAACTATAATAGCCAGTGCTTCATTTATACCTAAGTCCTTGATACATTTCTAGAAAGCACT